CACATCATTGATCACTCACAAATCACAACTTATATGGTTTATTATGAACTTAGATATGCTAATGATTTAAACCTACTCATTCAATGAGTTTTTCAATTATAACTATTAAATTTTATTAATATTTAAAAATTATAAAAATGCATTTCACTCAAAAAAAAATTTAAACAATTTTCACAATCAAAATATTTCTCCCGCATGTTATTTTCTCCGAAATTTAAAATTTGGTATTTTCTAGTATCATGGATAAAATTTATAGTAATCGTTTAATTAAATCAAATAGTTGTTATAATATGACATGAGCTACTCTCTTTCTTCTTGTTTTTTTTGGCCAAAGAGAGAAACTATCAAAAAATAAAGAAAACATAATTTTGTATTTTTTCATTTTATTCATATTTTATTATAAGTCTTTTCATTTTTTTTAATATTCTAGATCTCAACACTTTTGTTTTTTAGTGTTTTGAATTTCTCTAAGATCCTTACACTTTGTTCATTTAAAGACCTAGAACATTAAAAAAAATAAAAGTATAGAACATAGAACATCAAAAAAAATGTATGGATTTATAACCAAGCATGAGCAAAATACAGGCATTAAAGTTATGTTTTTGCAAAAAATAATAAGTCCAACAACTTACACACCAAGAGAGAATATGAAATGGTAGAAATAGAGAAAGGGAGTAACAAAAGAGAAAACAGAGTAGGGAATAAAGAGAAGCAAGACTATTGGGCCTATTTGGCTTCTATTTTCATTTTTTGTTTTTAAAAACTGTTTGTAATATAGTTTTTAAAATTGTATTTCAAAACAAAATAAAATGAAAATTCATTTGGTTATATTAATTTAAAAACAGTTTTAGAATTAAAAAATAAACTAATAGTGATTATTATAAGTGATTAATGATGGTGATTTATAATAAAAATTGATCAACATAATTGTAATTTTTAATAATCAAATATAATATATTTTAAAAATAAAAAATAAAATGAAAATAACTTAAAGTTGTTTGTATTTTTTATTTTTAAAAATAAAAAAATGAAAATAGTTTTGCAAACAAGTAAATAGAAAACACTTAACCAGACAAGCTTTTTAATTTTTTTTGTTTTTAAAAACAGAAGATAATTTTTAAAAATAGAAAACAAACAAGCCCTATGGGCTTGATTGGATGTTGTTTTCATTTTTTTTTCAAAAGTTGTTTTATAAAATAATTTTTAAATTTTTTTTGAGAACAAATAAAAAAAACTTGTTTGATAATAGTTATTCGAAAACAATTTTATAAATTTATGAGATGGGTGATTCTTTTTTATTGGGACAAAAATACAATGTTTGTCATTAATGAGAACAATTCTCCTTTCTTGTTTCCCATTTTTTCTCTATAAAACTAAAAAATATGAATAGAAACAATTAAAAATTGTTTTGGTTTTGTCGTGTTTAAAAACAAAAAATTTAATACCGCTTTCAAAACAAAAATTAAAAAATCATTGACTAAACAAGTGTTTTTGTTTAAAAAATATCAAAATAAAAAATAGCTTTAAAGAATAGTAAACAAACGGGCTCTGACTCTCGCTCGGATCCTTTATATAGGCTCCTTATCAAGTATTCTGGCAAATTATAACTAGCTCCCTAACTAATCAAATTATTTATTATTGATTTCTTTACATATCAGAGCGAACCAAAACCAGAAACCAGGAAAAAAAAGTTGCAGCAAAATGGAACTAGGGAGCAAAGGAGACAAAACAAAAAAACAATATTTGCCACTTTAGAACAATTAACCAGAAAGAACGCAAGAAGGGATGGGGGCTTAAACGCTCACTCAATCCAGCACATCCCTTTCAAAGCTATGTAAGAACCATAATAGTTGAACGAGACAAACTCGGATTCCACACAAAGCTAAAAAGCCATAGAGCTTTGCCAGGACTAGAAAAAATCCACCAATAACAAGTGGATCCCTTCAAACTAGAGTGTAACCTCGAACACAGATTGCATTAGGGAAAAACGAATGCACACTACACTAACTCCCTCAATCCATTGATATTGACAAAAACAAAGTTAAGCAACATAATCTAGGCGGGACCCATCTTTAAATCGTCCTTGATCTTACCTCCACTAAGTCTAAAAGAATTTGTCAAGACAAAATCTAAGATAGGCCAATCAACACCAAATGCAGACAACAAAGTGATACAAGTCACAATCATTCCTCTCAACAGAAAGAACACAAGAAAATGTCCTTAAAATTGCATCCAAAATACAAGACTTTATGCATATAAACAAACCATCCTCACCCAAGCACCAAATCACGCAAATAAGAAACCAGATAAAAGTATACTCGTGGTTGATTAGCTAGAAAACTAGACCATTCAACATTGTTATTGGAATCCTCTCATTCTGAAGCCCTCCCCCCCCCCCCCCCCAAATTTTTTTTTATCATACTCGTAACCTCTACCATTGATTTCCTTGTGCAAATTGGGACCTCCAAATTCCCAGATTAAAAGCCACTCGCCAAATGAGAAAACTTGTGTCATTCACTGGATCCCAACACAAGAATCCACGTAAGCACATGAATCCCTTTGGTAAATATAAATTTTAATTTTAATGATTAATAATTAATCAATAACAGAGTCAAGGACGGGCAATAGTCCAGGTCATCGTAACATGCGACAGTAACGTGTACGATTGTGCCAGTCCTTCGCTAACCTGAAACACTGATAACGTGTGTATCATAAATCTAGTTCAAGTTGCTTGTTATACAAAATTTTAATATGTTAATGCACGTTACAAGAACCTCGTTCAATTTATTTCTTAAACATTGACGTTTTGTACACGCTTAAAAAAAGTTCCGGCACAAAGTTAAAGTTATTTTTGTGAAGCGTAATTTTCAAAATTAAAGATATTTATTATAATTTAAAAAATCAGCGCAATTCATTATCTTGGGTTTTTATTTAAAAATAAGTGGTTCCGAAAAAAACAAACCATAAATCCACAAATTATCATATGCCTGTACCTTGAATTAACAAAAAATAAAAAAAATGAAACCGCGCAAAATTTCTTATTTTATAATTACTCGCGGTTAGCTCAAGTTGCAAAGGCAAATTAAAAGATAAATAGACATTTAAAGTTTAAACAACCTCGATATTAGAAAAAATCCATTTTCTAAAACATATAAAATGCCCAATATATAAAGAGTCGTTTTTCATAAATCATGTTCCCAAACTATGTGCAATGATATTGGTTTTGTTCAATTTGTTTCACATGTTATATCGATCAATGTGGCTTTATTTTTATTTTCCAGCGTTTTTATATATTTTGATAGAATTTAAATATTACAAAAGTATATTTTTTAAAAAAATTCTAAATCGCTATCTTATCTTCTCTACGAGAAAATTAATTCCGATTTATAATTTATTTGTAACTATGAAAACTAAAATATGCCAATGCTGTTTTTTCATCAAGCCTTTCCTTCTTCTGCAATTCGCTATCAAAGGAGGACATTCGCAACAAACATTAAAAAATTGTTCATTCATTCACAAACAAAATTAAAAAATTGTACACTTTTCTAAAGATACGTATTATGTTAGTATATTTTGACTTTGATTTTCTGGCCAGGCTTTTTTCTAAGAAGTGGCCACGTGTCATGCGGATATACGCTTGTTATGTGCTTTGCCCAACTGATTTGTCGTTGGAAACGAGTGTCACGCACGGCAGTATCCGCCGAGTGTTGAGCTTGTTGGTCCAAATGTAAATTAAGAAATTCCCAAATTACCTTCCTGTTGAAGAGCCCTGTTTCCGGTTCTTGTTCCTCTCTCTCTCTCTCTCACCATTATATGCCCACTGGCGTCAAGGTATATTCCTGGTTTCGATACCCTCTCTAACAAACATCCATCACCACGTATAACTCCTTAGCTCAAGTCCAAAGCGATACTTCATTATTTCGGGAGTTGTGGATTTGTCTCTCCGAAGGGCTATTAGGTGACGCTTTATTTCGCATTACTTTCTTCTCTTCTCTTTGCCATGTGCTCATAAGGATTTTGGCTTCTGTGGTGATTTGATTTTTATTTGTCTTGCCCGATTCATATTGTTACTATTTTTTGATTTCTAGCAACAAAATTTTTACCTGGTGGGTTGGGCGATCGGGAAACTTTGTGATGGATGGTGCATTCCTGGTTTCTGTGTTAAAGTGTATTGCCATGTCAGATGTCGAAGATTGTGTTTTTCTATACTGGGCGTGTTAAGTTTGAATGGTTTGGTGTAATTTCTCCGTTTTTTGGGTCTGACTTTTAATAAATACGGGGGGATGCTTAATATTGATACATGACAGTCTTCATTTTCACCTTACCAAGTGGAACTGGGAATAATGGGTGTTTCAAGTAATTTTTTTTTTTTGGAGATTTGGTGTTGTGTCTGCTTCTTGGTTCTTTTGAGTTGCAATGAGAAAATGGTTTTGTCAGAGTGAAAGTAAGGAACGAGTTGTTAACATCCTAGATCGGATAGAAGACTCCAAAGAAACGAGATTCATCGCATTTGATTCGTTGTTCGTTTTGTTTTCCTTTCCATTTGTTGTTCGTTGTGCGAGTGGAATTTATTCTGCGTCTTGACTTTTTCAAGGGCTCGCGTCACGAGAGAATTTCTTGTATTTTCAAATCTCATAATTGTTCAGCTTACTCGTTTGAACTCTTGAGCCAATGAATCCTGTTCTTCGAGGAAGGCGCTGAATTAATTGTTCTCCCTTGTTTGAATATGTTTTGGTTAGAGGAGTATGTTATCATCTCATGAGACTTTCTGATCTTGTTATGAAGCTACATTGGTTAAAAGCTGCATACTTTCTACCATCAATTTGGTCTGGACCCTTCTATTCTGAATAGAAACAATTAGGTGACTTCCATTTTGAGATCAGATTTGTAAGGCTCCTACAAACTTTGGTGTCCTGTCAAAGATGTACTAGAAGATTCCAATTGCCCGTATATATTTGTGTATGTTTTCTTGTTTTACTGTTACTATTTGTCATCCAGGTTTATTTCACATACAGGAAAATTACAAGATCTGTGCTGATTTTTATTGAAGATTTCTTTGAGGCGCATGACCCGTGTGGGGATATGTCAATGGCTGCTGCAGCTTGTTTGTGCACGTGATAAGGATGATGATGATGATGATGATAGTAATAGTGGATTAGCAATGGATCATTTCTGCCTTTAGCTATATATCACATTCACTTAATGGTTCAAAGGGCCTGAGTAATTTGTTATTTTCTGTTGAGGAAAAATCTTTTAGAATGAAATAATTTTTGGGAGTCTCACTTTTCACGTCATCAGCAGTTGACTAGAGGCATATAATTGCTAAAGCGTTAGAGTCATCTTGTTGGCCTAAGAAAATATTGTGAAAGATACAACATATTGGGGCGCACATTCCATAAAGATGGAAGTAATTGTTTCATCACTAGTACAAAAGCAGAACTTGCAGACACCTGGACGCAAAACTTTATTTGCCGGGTCCCAAAAGGATCTGTGGCTTATTGTGCGAGAAGGATCCCTAAATGATTTAGAGTCATCTTTGGCCTTACTGAAGAAGAGTGGGGGTAATATCAATTCAAGGAACACCTATGGGTTGACCCCTCTTCATATTGCAACTTGGAGAAATCACATCCCCATTGTCAGGAGGCTTCTTGCTGCTGGGGCCGATCCTGATGCCCGTGTATGATCAATTTTTCATTTCGAATTGTTATAATCTTACAGATATGAACCTGTGTGTTGACTTGTTAGCATGAAGTTGTTCTTTCAATGCCCAACAAACTTTATTTCACTGATGGATGGAATTTTGCGGAACGAGTTTTTTTTCCAAGTTGCTTCAGTCTAATTATTGCCCCAGAATGTCAAGAATCTATGACAAATTAAATCTTGGATCCATTGGTGCTGAGACCTGTTTCATTTTTTCAGGATGGGGAATCAGGATGGAGTTGTCTTCACAGGGCCTTGCATTTTGGTCATCTTGCTGTGGCAAGCATCCTTCTTCAGCATGGTGCCTCTATTATGTTGGAGGACTCTAAATCTCGAATACCAGTGGATCTCTTATCAGGCCCTGTCTTGCAGGTTATTGGAGATGGAAGCAATTCAGGTATAAAATGCTGCGCTTTGAATGTATGTTTTAGCTTGTTGGAATTAGGAAGTAGTAAGTAGCCTTGCAGGATAACACCTGCTTTTTGTGCATGTTTAGTTGCTACCGAGGTTTTTAGCTGGGGAAGTGGCACAAACTATCAGCTGGGAACCGGAAATGCACATATAAAAAGTTACCATGCAAAGTTGATTCACTTAATGGTTCTTTCATAAAGTTGATTTCTGCTGCGAAGTTCCATAGTGTTGCTGTCACTGCTCGTGGAGAAGTGTATACCTGGGGATTTGGCAGAGGGGGCCGTCTAGGACACCCTGATTTTGACATACATAGGTATATATTCTGATTTGATAATTTAAGTCCACTATTCATAAATTTTCTATAATGTGGGACACATATTGTCCACGCTTACCAATATGACCATGAGGGTATTAAGGGATTGGTGTTTCGATATGGCTTCTATTTTTAAGGACCTTCGCCCAAATGTCTTGACCAAGATGCTGGAAAATATAATAGTGCTTTCTTAAAATAAAAACCCTTTGATATCTCTGGTAGCGTTTAACAAATATCCACTGACTAAAGTGTCTTTGTCAGCGCACACTCATGTTTAAAGAGTGTTTCTAAAATTTGTATTAGAGGAATCCTTGCTTATGCAGTAATTTTGCTGGAAGCCTATTTGAAAACTTGTTTCAAATGTATATTTGGATGGTTGTCTAGTGGATTTCATTTTGCTTTGATTCACTGTCAGCTGATTGTATATTTGGATAGTTGCCTGCTGGATTTCATTTTGCTTTGCTCATTGCAGTGGTCAAGCTGCTGTCATCACTCCTCGACAGGTGACTTCTGGTCTGGGTTCTCGCCGTGTGAAGGCTATTGCTGCAGCTAAGCATCATACTGTTATTGCTGCTGAAGGTGGGGAAGTGTTCACCTGGGGATCCAATAGAGGTAAAATCTGCTGCTCGTATCAGTTTTTAGCTGTGACTAATTGTTTTCATATGATTCTTTGCAGTCCTGCCATGCCTAACTATTTTCTTTTATGTATTAACATTTTTTATTTCACCAATTATCAGTTGTTAGTAGCGGAAAGATTTTGGCTTTTTGACTTATACTGTGTACTAGAGGTTGAAAAAACAATTTGAGAATGGCACCGAAAGGTTATTCTTTTGTATTGTTTAGTCATTTATGGATGGTATCATTAATGCCCTTTTTAAAAAAAATTTATGCAGAGGGACAGCTTGGATACACTTCTGTAGATAGCCAACCAACACCTCGGAGAGTGACTTCTCTGAGGTCAAAAATCGTTGCTGTTGCTGCGGCGAACAAGCACACAGCTGTAGTTTCTGATTTAGGTGAAGTTTTTACCTGGGGTTGCAACAGAGAGGGTCAGCTTGGTTATGGTACCTCAAACTCAGCATCTAATTACACCCCACGTGTGGTTGAATACTTGAAGGGAAAGAAATTAATCGGTCTTTCTGCTGCTAAATATCATACAATCGTATTAGGATCTGATGGAGAGGTAACTATCTTGCATAATATTGTTCATTTTAATTTTCTTCTCATGGGAAGAAAATTATTTTATCAAGAACTAGAATGCTTGGGCTCTAGATAAGTAGTGTTTTACATTTTCATATTGACTGCTGCATTGTTATTTCTTTTATAGGTAATTTACCATAAGTTATTTCTTTTACTTGGAGATATTAGTTTAATTTTTCTATATTATATTCCAATGTACTGTGCTTGGCAGGTATACACTTGGGGTCAACGGCTTGTCACTCCAAGACGTGTAGTAATTTCTAGGAATTTAAAGAAAAGTGGAAGCACTCCTTTGAAGTTTCATCGCATGGAACGACTTCATGTGATTTCTATAGCTGCGGGAATGGTACATAGTATGGCTCTGACAGATGATGGTGCATTGTTTTATTGGGTCTCCTCAGATCCTGATCTTAGATGTCAACAGGTTTGTATTTACTAAATTCTTTCTTTTTCCTTTTTCTTTTGTTTTTTACCTGTGATGATCCAAGACAAGAAGCTAATTGGAAACATTTCTTTCCTTCTTTTTGTCACAAAACTTTATGCAGATATATGCCATGTGTGATAAAAATATAGTGAGCCTATCTGCTGGAAAGTACTGGACGGCAGCAGTTACTGCTACAGGTGATGTTTATATGTGGGATGGAAAGAAAGGTAAGGATAGGCCACCAGTTGCATCTCGGTTGCATGGTGTGAAGAGGGCTACATCAGTTTCAGTTGGTGAAACACATTTGCTCTTTGTGGCTTCCCTCTACCATCCTAGCTATCCTCCCAGCACAATTGAAAATTCTCATAAGCTGAAGGTTGATAACAGGGATGAGGTGGGAGAGTTAAGTGAAGAGATTTTATTTGAGGATATGGAAACCAATAATGTGATATCCAGTGCACAAACTGATAATTCTGGGCGACAGCGTGTGCCCAGCTTGAAAAGCCTTTGTGAAAAGGTAGCAGCAGAGTATCTTGTGGAGCCACGAAATGCCATACAGCTACTTGAGATTTCCGATTCTCTTGAAGCAGATGATTTGAAGAAGCATTGTGAGGTACTGTTATTGACTTCTACACGGATTTGAAATATAGCTAAAATCAAATTGGCCTTGTGCTGTTGCTTCTTGTTAAGACTTATTTTCTTAATTTTTATTTTTTATTAACCTGTGCTAATGGTGGAACATATACAGGTCAGAGTAGTTAACATCTAAAAAAAATAATAATAATCCTGAAATAGTATTACGGAGATTAGAGATCTTGTAAGGCTACCATATTGCATGTGGTTTTGCGATTCCAGTGGTCATGATGTTATATTTAGTTGGATGTTTCTTTATGTGGTAAATCGCGTGATATGCTGAAGCTGTTGTCTACCGATTTCAGGAGATTGTCATTCGCAACCTTGATTATATTTTTACAGTTTCACCACATGCAATTGCAAGTACTTCAGCAGATATCCTGGCTAATCTTGAGAGATTGTTAGATCAGAGATCGTCTGAACCATGGAATCACCGTCATCTCCCCACTCCAACTGCTACTTTCCCTGTCATCATTAACAGTGAGGAGGATGACAGTGAGATTGAATCTCAAAGAATTCGTGATGAACCCAAGAAACTGTGTTCATTGACATTGGAGAAAGATCAGAACTCTTTTCTTAAAGATGATCCAATCAAGGAATCTCCAAAGCAGTTCGAGCTCTAAGGAAGAAGTTGCAGCAGATTGAGATGCTTGAAGCTAAGCAGTCCAATGGACGTTTTCTTGATGACCAGCAGATAGCAAAGCTTCAATCTAAGCCAACTCTTCTTAGCTCACTTATGAAGCTAGGTGTTCCTGTTGAGACTTTGCATAAAGAATCCTCTTCTGTACTGTCAGAAGGGAAAGGTACTAAAAAGAGCAAAGTATCAAAAAAACAGAGGAGGAAGAGCAGCAAATCGAGTGTGCTGCAAACAGAAGCTGAATCTGTTTGTTCTGGGACTGGAGTAATTCCAGAAGCCGTGAAGGACTTGTTGGGCATTGATATCTTAGAGGTTCCTACTACAAAGGTTGGTTTCCTGATTCCTGATTCCACCTGCAATATTCGAGATATATCATTGACCAAATGGCTAGTTCATGGATTTTCACCACCATTTCCTTTTCTTTTCACATGGGAAGGGTTGGTTTGACATTTTACAGTCCCTAAAGCAGTATTTGATTCAATAATTTTACATTTCCCTTTTACTTTTAAATGCTATTCTAGGTCAGGATTCCTTTCATTTTGGACAGTTTGGGAGCAAGGAAAAATCATTTTACCTAAGATGAAGACTGATGTGGTTAAGTTGAGTATTTGGCCCTTTTATAGTTTCATATTGCTGACCTATGAACAACTGGTGTCTGGGTTAGGAATAATGTCTGATAGTGCACAACTAGTTGATGGATTGTTCCTGTTGGAAGAGATTGTTAGTTAGACTAACACCTTTTACATGTTGAGTTGAATATTTCATTCTTACAAAGAACAGATCTTTAAGAATTTCCTGCCTTAACTTGGTTCCTGTTATGGATTGTTTTTGTTGAAGTTTTAAATTATATTGATAGGTGGAAGCTGACATTTGTGAACAAACTATGGCCGCCCAAGTTGTAAAGGAGTCAGCTTTTGATCTTCAGAAGAATGATTCTTTAGAAATGCCAAACAACAAGGGACAATCACCGAAGGTTTCTAAGAAGAAGAGCAAGAAAGGCGGCCTTTCTATGTTTTTGAGTGGTGCTCTTGATGATGCTCCTAAAGAGGTGGCTCCCCCACCACCGATGCCCAAAATTGAGGGTCCTGCATGGGGTGGGGCCAAGTTTTTGATGGGTTCTGCTACTCTTCGTGAAATCCAGGACGAGCAGAGCAAAATTAAGGAGAGTCACTCACCTAAGAGCAAAGATCAAGCAGAAAATGTTCCTGATTGTGGAAGTGGAGGGAAGATACGACTGAGTTCATTTCTTCCTTCAAGTCCAATACCTGTTGCATCGACTCGCAGTTCCCCAGTTTCTGATGGAGAAAAAAGTACCCCAACTTGGGCTGCATCTGGAACCCCTCCTCATCTCTCTCGTCCATCTCTTAGGGATATCCAGATGCAGCAGGTTTGTGAACTAAGGCTTCCTCTGACGTCTCTGTTTCCATCTTTGCATGTCAGTGATTTTGTGATGTTTGCTTTCGATTTCGATCACAGAAATTTCTGTATCCCTTGCTCTCCTATGCATATTTAACTTGCATGCAATATCTTATCACTTATTAATCTGTGTTGCTGGACTGTGTCCAAGTGACGTTACATTGAACTGACATATTTTCTTCAAAACAGGGAAAGAAGCAACAAAATCTTTCCCATATTCCGAAGACTAGGACAGCTGGATTCAATATAGCTACTGGTCAAGGGTCACCTTCTGATGCTTCCGGTGTTAATCGCTGGTTCAAGCCAGAAGCGGAGGCACCATCCTCAATTCGATCAATTCAGATTGAGGAGAAGGCTATGAAGGATCTCAAGCGCTTCTACAGCAGCGTTAAGATTGTCAGAAGTCAGACCTGAGTCCATCTATTTATTTGCTCTGGTGGCAACAAATATTATTCCATCTCTTTTAACTTTTCCTTCCTTTCGGTTTTATTCCAAGGACTGTAAATTGGTCTGTACAGATAATTGCGCTGTACATTCATTTCTTTCCAAAGCAGAAGTGTAGTCTCTAGCTTCTTAGCATCCTGGTCTTTCCATTTCTGGCCATTCTTTTTCCACCCTATCAACACTGTACATGAAAGGATGCTTACCTGTACTCAATTGTAAGTGTTTCTGAAGACTAAGAGTCGTCGTCAATAATGATCCTGCACTGACATTAGTAGGAGCATCAAATAGTGTAGGTACTCTGAAAGCCCAAGAATTTCAGAATAAGAGGGCATTCTCACTCCCCTCGAAATAAAGACGCAGAGTAGGCGGGTAGCGCTTGTCTCCAAGCCCTCCCCCATAGTAGTTTATATTACAGCCCCCTTCAGCACATTTGAGAGGCAATGCTTTTTTCAGTTCGTGACTTTGTTATAATTTTTTCAAAGATCTGTACGTTTCTGCCTGCCGTTGATTAGGCAGCATTAATATTAGGGAGCAGAACAGAGATGGAGGTTGTGACTTGTAAGCAAGAGATATTCTGTTACTTTTTGTACTGTGAGTGAGGGCGGGTCAAAATTAGTTTATTGTTATGCATTGTATTTTTTTCTCATGTACAAGCATTTGGTCTGTTCTCCTTTAGGAGGTTTCTCTTTTTCTCGTGCTGCAATTTTCTACTTTGAACTTTCTCCTTTTTTTCTACCAACCCCTTTATAATTTCTTGCCTTTTGGATTGATTATTGAGGTACTGTTGGACAACCCCTGCAACCGTCCTGTGTTGACGCTTGCCATATCATGCTAAAAAGGTTGTTCCACTTGCCAATTATGCGAATTTTCATTAGTTTTGAAATATGCGTGGTTGCCTGGGGTAACCCGGCCCATTATCCCAACAAAAATTAATATAATCATTACAAAAGGCATGTTTTTATCACCTTGATTCCCAATTTTTTTATTTCCGAATCTTTGAAGACATTTTTTGTTAGATTTTAATATTTTATTACAACACGTTAATCTTAAAATAGTTTAGCAATACATTTTCAATTGCAAACATTTTCATTGTCTAGCCCTCCAGGAGGATCATTTTTAATAGACAAGCTGCTAGTAAAGGTCTAACCTTCTTGGGGTGGTTTGCTTTGTGGACAGAAGTAATTTTTGTCCCCCCCCCCTCCCCAATTTATTATATTTATTATTTTTTCCTAGTACAGAACTTTTTTATTCATTTTGTTTGCATTATTTTTATTTCAATTAATAATTTTATGCACTAAATTTTTTTCTGTTTGCTTTGGCATCGAAAGCATTTGTGAAATAGGGAAAAGGAGAAGATATAAAAAAGAGATAAAAAGGAGAAAATATAGAGGAGAAAGAAATGAAACCAACTGAAAAGGAAAAAGCTTAATTGGATATATTATGGTTGTGAGGAGGCAAAGGTGTGTGGCTCTCCTTGGAAGGTTGAGAGCTTGATTTTTTTTTGAAAACATAAATTGTAATTTAAATTTTTTAAAATCAAGATCTGTTAAATTTTGTGAAGTTTGCCTTTTTAAAAAAATTATATTTTATAAAATGAGGAAAAAATATTAAAAAAACTGCATAGAAATTTACAAATATCAATTTTAAAGAATTTAAATCTCATAACCTGTTTTCTAAGGCATCTTGCTAGTTGATTTATATATATATATATATATATAAGTCTTGCTAGTTGGTTAAAGAGCCACTAATGTCATATCTTGAAAATAGACACGCAACATCAAATACAGAGCTTAATTAGCCAATTATTCAAAGAAAAATTAAAATTAAAATTAAAAATTGAAATATTACAAGAGACATTAAAAAAATAGGTTAAAAACCTCTTACTTGTAACTGAATACTACATCGTCCAGTGCTTTCTGGATTTCTTGTGCTTTTAGAAACGTGCATGCACAGTCAAATGTGAGCAACACTAGCATCGTGCACTTAAAGGCGAGGGTGGAAGTGACCCTTTTCCCTTCAACATGACGAGATATATCGATCTCCAATCTCCATAGTTGTTCTTGGGAATGTAACATCTTTTTTCTTTTCTTTATTATTATTATTTTTTTGATACGTGAGTCAAACGACTCCTATAATGATAAAAACAATGCAACTGTGTACTGTGGAGAGGGTCCCGCTTTTATTTTTTTTCTTTTGAAGCCTGAAAAAGTCTGATCAACTTCAAAGAAGTCTCCAGAGGTTCGTCTTCCTCATCATAAATCTATGATCTCCACACTACAAAAAAAATAATGACTTTTAACGGTGATTAAAAAAATTATCATTAAAAGTAACCATTAAAAATATACTTTTTATTATTATAATCTTCCAATAACCTGTTTATCACGTTCTTTCCTCTTTAGCTTAAATGTTTTCTCTCTTTCTTCAATGTCATATGATCTGCTAGCTGGCTCCTTGTCTGTCTCCTAATGTGTTTTCTATTAGTGGCCTATTGATTGAGAACTTGGTTGCTTGCAGGCCTTCGATTATTCTTCTTGAACCTGGAGAGACAAAGAGAGAGAGAGAGAGAACGGATCAAGAAGCTATTTATAGGGGTGTTTAGTAGTGCAATATCTGCATATTTTGTGATGACTGATGAGTGAGATTGAGAAATCTTTCACTGGAGGGAGATGAAAGAAGGAAAGGCGGCGCAGGGAATGAAGCTGGATCCGAAATCATTGTCTGTATTAACCCATAGTCATTAACGTGGCTTGCTTCTTGTAGCTTATTAATTATTATCACAATCATTACAACTACTCAAAGAAAAAAAAAAAAGTAGCGTGTCTGTGTGTGTGTGTGTGTTAATAATATATACAGCTTTGATGCATGGGGAGGGACTGATTTCGGACCAGGCTTCATTCTCACGCCCAGCTTTCCCCTTATAGAAGCAACCAGCTGCAACTATATTATGAAATGTACGTAAGCGTTATTTTCTCCTGCAACATTAATGGTGGAAATATGATCCAAATAGTTTTACCATTTCCAACCAATTTTACTCTTTTTCTTCAACTTGCTCTTCAAGTGGATTATTTATATCCTTTCAATTTCCAGAGCAAATACATATACACTAGATAATTTATTTTAGAACGACGACATGATATCCCTGAAACACCAGTGGGCTCCCATCTGAACTGACAGTGTCGCACGCAAGGCCCAAGTCTCAGCCACAGCCTAAACTCAAACTCACGCGCAGCGCCCCACAATATCCAATTATCCACACAATACTTCCCCACTTTTTATATAGGATGACTTGACTCTTCTTAAAATTCAAATGACAAGTCTCATCCGGCACTGCACGATTCTATTCTCGAATCCCTACGAAGTCATCCAAAACCCTGCCTCTTGTTTTTTTTTTTTTAGACAAATTATCTAACGTAGGCTGGAAATTACTAGTTAATTACTAGTCGCGGTTTGGATAAGATTATCTGTGATTTAAGCTATTAAATAGAATTAATAATTTTCAACATCAAGCCTTGGTTTATAATTATAGACATGCCATGCAGGATTGAAGTGGCCCCCCTTCTCACCGCATTAATCCCCCAAAAGAAAATGCGCCCTTGTAAAAAAATTGTATAACATTCATTGTCCCCAAAAAATTGACACATTCACACTTCATTCAAAATTCAGAGTCCCGATCATTTGATGTAATCCGATATAATCTGGAGTTGCCCACATTTAATGGTAAAGGATAATTAGTGGTTTACAATAGCTCATTGTTTGGATTTTAATAAAGAGGTCATGTATAAGTGGAGAAAGGAAAAGAAAAGGGCAAATTGCACTACAAGCTCAAAAGACCAACATATTTACATTAAAGGACAGATTGTCCCTTTATGAAATAAGTACAATTTTTGTTGAAAATAAATGGATTTTTATTGTTATGTATGAGTGTTTTGTTGTATATTTCATATAGGTATCTTATAAATTTTTTCTCTTTTCAACAAGTGCAAACCATGTGAACTATATGAAATAAATGGACATTTTTTCATTTATAAATAGACTTTAAATTTTAATATTATTTACAAAGTTTATTTTAAATATCATCTAAATAATTTGTAAATTTTCTCTTTTTTTAATAAGTATAAAATTTCGTTGTTGATAAATTTTATTTGTATATTTCACAAAGGAACAATTCCAGTCTAGTTTTTCCGTTGCGCAGCCCCCAGTAATAGCAACAGCGGTTACATGCATGATGCATTGTGAAATGGACAGCCTTTTCCCACTATATCTCAACCTTCTCCGCACGCAACAATAATTCATCATCTTCTACCTTAATATATCAACCACAATTCAGCCTTTTCCTCCGGTTAAAAGGGCCAGAAGGATATGTATATTTGAATTTAATATTTTTTTAACATATCTTATAAATAGTAATTTAAATAATTATAAATTTAAGAATTTCAATTGCAAATGAGACATTTAAATTTTAAATGTAAATCTCAATTTACAATCAAAATTTTTATTTGCAATGAATTAATATTGATAATTTTTCATTTTAGGATTTTAGCATCATTTTCCCTGAGAAGGTGGGAAATGGGCTTCATATAATAGACCTGAAAATGATGGGTTGAACAAGCAGGCCCAATCTATCGATTCATCTGCAAAAAAACTCATTGATTTTTATGTAACTGAATGATCACAGCTGGCTTTTTTCTTTTTTTAATGTTGAGTGTAGTCTTCATATTCTATTTAGTTATTGACCAATTACACACGCATATTGGACATTATTCATGTATAATTCTAGCCTTCTAAGGTTTCTAAATGGGATAGAATCCAAAATTTCTGTCATGGTAATTGGTTTAGTGGTGTGGAATGTGATAGGTAACGGATTTCAAGAATTATTCATTGGCCAAAAATATATAGAGTGATGATGACGAGCTGAAAAGGAATACACCACGAAATTTACACGCGCCTTTGTTCCATTCTCAGCGTCCAGGTTCAATCTCCATTGCATATTTTCTTTATTTTTCGATATAGCTTTTTAAACATGCTATTGGGCCTGTTAGTCACATGCTATTGGGAATGCTCACATTTGGGCACCGAGGGAGTCTTTCCTCCTTTTCTACAAAAAGTAAACAAGAAAAAGTTGGTGTTTGCTTGCCACTGGCTGGCTTCTTTCAACCCTTTTTTGTTTGATGCATAATGATAAAAATATGAGTTAAAAATATAAATATGATTTATTATTTATAATACATTCTTGTTCATAATAAAATTCTAAAATTAAGGAATACACAAATATATTATAAATTTTTAAAATAATTAAATAATAAATCATATTTTCATTAAGGAAATCAAGAAAATATGGTAATGTTAAATAAAGAGGGACATAAATATTAGAGGAAAGAAAGAGGTTCAGAATTAAAATTAGGGACTGTACTGAACAATTCAGAGACGGATTCAAGGGGGCAAGCGTTCCAAAAAATTGTTAATGTTACACGTTTTTTATTTGTTGAAAATGTTAAAATTAATTTTGGCCCCTCATAGAATTTGTTCTAGTTCCGTCCCTGCTCAACGTTATATAAACCCATTGACTCATTGGCATTGCTCGTCAGCCACAACGTACGCATGCATCCCTCCCACTCTCTGTCAATCTATCAATCTTTCTCTTCTCCCATGGCCATGATTCTCCTCCTCCTCCCCCCTCTGACTTTTGCTGCTCCCAATGCACCATTTGTGAGACAAACGGTGACTGTAAGCAAAGACGGGAGAGGGAACTTCACCACCATCCAGCAAGCTATTTCTGCAGCTCCGAGCAACACTCTCTCCACGGACGGGCATTTCTTGATCCGCGTCTCTGCAGGTATCTATGAAGAATACATCTCTATTGATAAGAAAAAGACTTATTTGATGATGATAGGAGACGGCATCAACAAAACTATCATCACAGGCAATCACAATGACGATGACGGGTGGAAAACCTTCAACTCTGCAACTTTCGGTAACTGGTTCAAACACACAGTGTGTGTGTATATATAATGCTAAAATAATGTACTGTTTCTTGATTATAATGTGAAGAATGTGAATGGATGCAGGCGTGAAAGGGGATGGATTCGTGGGAGTGAATATCATTTTTCGCAACACAGCAGGGCCGGAAAAGCACCAAGCAGTCGCAGCTCTAAACTCAGCAAACATGTCCTCATTTTATAGCTGCAGTTTTGAGGGATACCAGGACACGCTATACGCACATTCGAAGATGCAGCTGTACAGAGAATGTGATATATACGGCACGATCGATTTCATCTTCGGGAATGCGGCGGCGGTGTTCCAAAACTGCAACATTTATGCTCGTAGGCCTATGAGGGGATTAGGGGCTTTTCATCTTCGGGAATGCGGCGGCGGTGTTCCAAAACTGCAACATTTACGCTCGTAGGCCTATGAGGGGATTAGGGGCCTCTAATGTGCTATCACATTCTCTGTTACAGCTGCATCTTCGAATGTGCGTATAGCGTGTCCTGGTATCCCTCAAAACTGCAGCTATAAAATGAGGACATGTTTGCTGAGTTTAGAGCTGCGACTGCTTGGTGCTTTTCCGGCCCTGCTGTGTTGCGAAAAATGATATTCACTCCCACGAATCCATCCCCTTTCACGCCTGCATCCATTCACATTCTTCACATTATAATCAAGAAACAGTACATTATTTTAGCATTATATACACACACACACTGTGTGTTTGAACCAGTTACCGAAAGTTGCAGAGTTGAAGGTTTTCCACCCGTCATCGTCATTGTGATTGCCTGTGATGATAGTTTTGTTGATGCCGTCTCCTATCATCATCAAATAAGTCTTTTTCTTATCAATAGAGATGTATTCTTCATAGATACCTGCAGAGACGCGGATCAAGAAATGCCCGTCCGTGGAGAGTTAATATATAATTTAGACTTGGAAGATTGGTGGGCTCGTCTTCAATGGGTGGCCTCGCATTCGACCAAAAGTCATCCCAACATCGATCCATGGCTGAGAACTCATGGGAATTTCAAGAGAATCTTCATAGGATGTAACCGTGGTGGTGGTAACATCGTTCATGACATAGTCATGCGAGCCGGGTCTGAGACTTAATTTACCAGTTGGAGTCAAAATATTGGGTTCATACAAGAACCATGCACCTATTTTTCTGGGGTCCGAACCCATCGGGTGCGAACGGGATCGGATGAAGGGTTAGAAGAGATGCTTCCTTTGGGGCTCCAAGTGGGCTGGACAACCCGATACTGATGAACCCTTTGACTCGTGGAGCGCCCAGCCTGGCTAGCTTTAGGTGTGGTAAGTTGTCTATCAGTGTTGCTGGTAAGTATCTTCTGAGATAGAGGCATAGAGCCGCTTTGTATTATGAGGCTTTGAAGGCAAGTGGATGGAAAGGAGAAGTAGAACTGTTTGAAGAGGCAGATGAGGAACATTGTCATCATATCGACACCCCAGAGTGCTGAGATGTTGTTCACGCACCTCATCCATTTTATTTTTATTTTTTTGTTTTTTTTTTTTGATACAGGCACCTCATCCATTTTCTTGGCTCTATGTTTTTAAGTTATCACCCACCATTTGAGGTGATAATGAGCCTAAAAATAATAATAGGATATATAGTGATGGTCAAAAGAAATTTAAGAGATTATATGTATCATCTTGAATTTATATATATTCACACAAAATTAGTCATAAAAGACAATATTTACAAATAATTATTAGTATTGCAATTTCGTGAAGCCACCAAAGATTTAGGTTACACATCAATTTTTTTAATTAGTATAATAAATTTCCTCGTTATAGTAACTACCGTGATCCCTGTTAATTTAAATTTAAATGCGGAATTTCTGAACCATTACTAACTTCCATATTCCAGAATTCATATTTAAATTTGAATTGATTTAAATTATATAATTTAAATTTAAATATTTATAAAAACAGGGAGGAGAGAAAAGTTATTAATTTTATATGGACAATAATAACCTTATTATTTATAAAAATATTTTTATATAATAAAATTTATTATATTAACATGTTATATATATAATAATAATTTCTATCATATATTATTCATTGAATAAAAATATAATTAAAAATTATTTTATCCAATACTGACCAAAAATTATTTTATCCAATTTATAATTTTATTTATTAAATTATTAAATACATAATAATCTTAAAATTTTGAAACTATAACCAAATATAAGGGACTTAACTGAAAATTTAAAATTAGCATTTCTCTAATTAATTTAAAAATTAAATATACTGCTTGTTTAACAAAATTTTATAATCAACCTGTATTTACACTATTCCATCAAAAAAATGTAACAACACTACAAATATAAAATTTACAAATTGGTAAAAAAATAAAAAATGAAATTTTCTCCCCAAAATCTAGAGAGAAAAATTGGAATTAAAAACATGTGGGTTGTATATGTTATTTTTTTCCTACTGTTTTCTCCCATCCACTTTTCTTGCCAAAGCCAAGTAGAAAAAAAATGTTATTTTTCTCTCTTACTTTTATCTCCCCCTAATTCTTCTCCTACCAAGCATAGCATCTGTGACTAGGGGTGAGCAAAACTGAACCAAAATTAAAAAATTTAATTGAATTATTATTATTTCATTCCATCTATTCAATTTTTTGGTTTGATTCAATTTTTTTTAAATATTATGGTCGATTGGCTTAATTTAGTTAGTAAGATTTAAAATTGAATAAACCAAAGCAACTAAATTATCACATATGTATATATAATTTATTAATTTATAAATTATATTTAGTTTATCAAGATCTGGACATTTGATTATTGTAATAATTTGATTTTAATATTTTACTAAAATGCTGTTTACTGTTTATTGGGTTGAATTTGCTGTGTTGAATTCTAATCTTGATGGAATATATGTGTGTAATTAAAATGGGCTATTATTACTTTACAAGCCTCAATCCAAATAGCCTAACATGAAGGCCAACAATTGAATTAATTGATAGAATTGAATTGTCAAATTTCGGATCAGTCCTTGTTTTGTTCGGTTCATATTTTTAGTGCTGTATATATTTTGGCATTAAACTGACCAATGCTCACTCTTATTAGTGGTTGACTATATTTGCTTCAAACATGATTATCTCCAATAAAAAAAACATGTGTGCAATTTAAAAGTAACAAAAGATAGATAAAAATTTGTTGTTTTTGAATTTCATGATGTTTAGTACTCTGTCTGGTCCTTTCTATAAGTCACGTTCTAGAAATTGGCCTTTTATATAAGTCATTTTCTTTAGTTTTTGTAACTTTTGATATACAATTCGAAAAATATATTCCAACATTTAAAGTTTTTAAAAAAAATTTTCTCACATCAAATCACTCTTTTTTAAATATAGGGACAAAATCAAACAATAATTTATTTTTAAGATAATTTTATTATTTTAACTAACTCACCTTAATTCCAGTAAATTGTTAGAATTGATTAATGATGGAGAGAGTATACTTTTTACTTCATAGTAGTCGTCGCCGGTCTTGTAACTTGCAAGTCCGGCATGTGAGTCCCTCCGTCAATACATGGACTATATAATGTTTCTTGGTTTTTTATATTTAATTGATGATCGTTTTTATAAAAAAGATAGACAAAAATTATCTCAATTAATGAACACGAAATAAATATTCTAACCATCTAATAATTCTTTAAAAATATTAAAATGTGTTATATCATTTCACACACTAATAATAATTAATTAACCATAACTTATACAAATAAAAATAATATTTCATACATCCTGTGTTGCACGAATTACTTATTAGTCTTTTATAGAATTATACAAAAAAAATGTGGCAGGCTGGGCTTGTGAAAACCTTCCCATTATTTTATGCAGGATGGCCTGAACCATGCCTGAAATTCTGGCTCGTATGTACATCTCTAGATATAAGAGATTTTTTTCGTGGTTTTCCTTTCACATCTTACATGAGGAACTCTTCTCAAGACTCAACTCATATATGTTATATTACAAGGGTTTTTCATGGGGTTAACGTTTCTCACTTTAAATTGAAATTTATATACTACTCCAGTAAAAGGGGTGGAGTACAAATATAATATAATAGACATAGAAATTAAATATTTTCTACATTGATTGATAATGAAATTTTCAAGTCTGCCGTAGCTTAGAATTAGCTAGCGTTTAAATTAATAATTTCCAGGTCAGTTGTACTACAAAACTAAAGAAAGAGTTATCAGTTTTCGTATATGTTGTGTTTCATAAGGAATCTATATGCAAGGACCAATCCAGATTACGACATGGCAGCTCTTGGAGGTAACCTGCCAATCCCCAGCCCCTCAACACAGACAGAAACATTCCACATTTCTCTATATCATAGATCCAAGTCTAGCCACGAATTGAACAAAAGTAAATTAAAGTAAATTTATTTGTAACTACAGTAGCATGCCTGGTCTTATACGATTGACTATAAATTGCTCTATCTGATTTCTAAAGGTCTATCGATATATTCAATCGGAAAATAGAAGTCTTAAAACAATAATCTCCAGCGAAAGTGATTAGACACGGGTTCCGGGAATTCATGATCCAGCATCTTGGGGCGATCAGTGATGATTGGCTTAATAAGTCACAAGCGACAAGGCCATGGCTGTGAACTCAACCGCATACGCCACGCGATCCACAACCCCCTTCTTCACCGGACTTCTGGTTCATCTTTGAACCCGTCCGTACACGTCGTCTCGTACGTAATCGCCGCTGACAACTCGGTTTTCAGGGAGAACATCTTGAACTCGAAATCACGGCCTTTGGCTTCTGCTAACTGGCGCAGCCAATATAACCCGCCACCTACGTCATCTATCGCGGTCCCAAGGGTCTTAACGCAGATGCTAAGCGCGACCGCATAGCTGTCGTTGGCTTTGCGAGAGAGAGCAGAGACATCGGAGGCTACACGACGGACCATTGGAAGAGCCACGGTGATGCCGACGATAGCCAGAGCAGAAGGGCTTTGCTTGATCACATTGGCTTAGAGAGAGATGGACGAGTAGCAGATGTCAGGGTTATCGGTGGTGTTGCAAGTTGAGCGGATGAAATGGGTGCGATGGGGGGAGGGGCGGCGGCCAATGATGGTGGGAGAAGGAAGAATGTAACAGCAAGGAGAGAGGAGCTGAGGGCTTAGGGTTCTCATGGCGGCTTGCTTTGGTCGATGGACTGGAGCAGCCCGGCTTAAATAGGATTTGGAGCTCCAATTTGGCGGTTATGTTTGGATACAAGTACATTCAATTTCGTTTTGAATTCGCCCACAAAGCAGAAGAACTAGACGAGGAAAAAGAAACCCAAATTCAAAGGTCAAAACAAATAACCGAGAAATTCTTATATGGATAGGGTACATCACATTATTTAGAATCTATTTAATAAAAATATAACCTTAAAAGACATTAAATATAAATTAATTTTAGGAAAAACATAACTTTTGATTTCTATACTTAATTCACATTTTGCTTTTGAATCCTATACTTTTTTTGATATTTTAAGTACTTACATTTTTATTTTTTATTATTTTCAGTTCCTTCAAGAGCAAAATATAGGGATCTTAGAGAGATCCAAAACAATAAAAAATAAAAATATAGAGACCTAAAATACTAAAAAAAAGTATAGAGAACAAAAATAAAATACGAATAAAATATAAGAATTAAAAGTTATATTTATCCTTGATTTTAATAGTAATGATAATAGAGAGAAAAAAGGTAAAAAAATTATATATGAATTCTATTATAAAAATAAAATCAATTAAAAGAATACATTATAAAATTTTATTTAAATAATTTTAAATATTTTAATTGGACAAGTCACAAATAATATGATGCATTCGTCTTATCTAAAATTTATTTTTAATAATTTTATTTTTATAATGGGGTATCTGTTTAAATTTTTTTTCCTCTCCATTGTTATCAATGCAGAATCAATAATTTATAACGGATACGTCCCGCCAGTTCATGGAAACATGATTATTGTCTGAGAACGCCAGTTTCCATGCAATATTGATGTTCTCTGGTAAAAATAAAAAATAAAAAATAAAAATGCATTGATGTTACACGTTCCGTACACTTTATCTGCCATTAATGCTGCGCGTGGTTCAGTTTTTAGTATAGGTGGTTCCAAACCCCCCCGGGGGTTTACGGGTCTGTCTTCGGTCAACGGATTCACTAATAACATTGGAGAATAAAAAAATGTAAACAAGTATTTTATATACTCTTTTACTCATTTTGACCCCTTTGATTGCGTTCGTAAAAAATTGGATATTATTACTAACAAGCCTGGCCAACCATTCACTAAATCATGCATATATGCTCGCTGCACGCACTTAGTTGCCAAGGACGACATTATATTGATGCAAGAGACTTTTTCATAGCTTTTCTTTCACATTACATATGAGGACTTGTTCTCGTGACCCGACGTCCCGACTCGTATCTCTTGCTCTTATTGGGTTTTTCATGCAGGGGTTAAGGTGTTTCTGATCACTTAAAATGCTGAAGAATACTTCCCTTCATAAATTTCCTATGGACGCAAGAGAGATTTTCTTGAGCAACCTACTTATTATACCTTTATTTTTAAGAATATCTATATACTCCTTTCGTTCAAAAATATAAAATATTTTTTGAGGAGTTGAAATTAATATATAAGACATTTTTAGTCTTTTAAAATGTAATAATTATTTTTTTTTTAAGTGCCCCTATTGATAATAATTTTATAGTTATTATAGGGTGTTTAATAGGAGTAAAGATGAAAAGATAGGGTTAGTTTAAAAATAGATAACTACTTTATTAAAAAGTGAGATTCGGTTAAAAATGACTTACATTTTTTAATTGAAGGAGTGTATATATATATATATATATATGCATTACCTTTTATCCTTATACTTGCAAAATACTAATTTTTGCGTTAGTTAAGTTGGAATTTCTTCTTCAACGAAAGTGGTGGCGTACAAATAATAGAGAACGGAACTGAGCATTTTCATTCAGAATGAAATTTTGACGTTTGTATTCCAGAACGAACCGCGTCTGTTGTAGTTCAAAACTAAAACAAAAGTTCCCAGTTTTTGCATCTGTTGCGTTTCATCATCCAATTAATATGTTTTTCACCTTTGATCATGAATTTAGTACTCTGATACTGAAATTATTGATTCCTCATTCAGTGTTACTGCAATTATAACACCTTAAATGTTGGCAAAAAAAAATTATAACACCTTAAATAAATTTACATGTTTTTAATGCTTTTCGTTAATGAGAATGACCACTATCTGAACTGATCAAATAGCTATTTCTTCATTTTCTTTAATAAACATATATGGATTTATGCATGAGTATCTCTGTTTTTTTTTTTGGGTAAATAAATGAGTATGTCTTTAATTGTAGAGAAAATATATTTGTAGGTCCTAATAATTTCATTTAATTTTAAATTAGGTCCTCACATTTTATTTTATTTTAATCAAATCCTTATAGTGTCATCTTTTATATATGTTAACATATGAAAATTAACATATATTTTAAGAGATGTGATTCTAAAATTACTCTTGAAGTTTAGAAAAAAAATTCAATTTAATACTTTTAGTCAAAATAAAAAAATAAAATTTAATTTAATACATTATTTACAATTTTATTAATTTTATGATTAAAATTCTATATGTATAAAAATATTTATTAGAAGACAAATTAATTATATAAATTTTGAGATATAAAAATTATGTAATTAATTCCAGTGTCATATCATCATTTAATAAAATATAAAAGTTCTTTTTTTTTTTGAAGGGAAAATTTAAGGATGTTAACCTTCAGAGATTAAAATATTTAATTAATCAAAATATAAGAGCTCAATTAAAATAAAATAAACTAATTTAAAATTAAGTGAAATGATAAAGACCTGCAAATATATTTTACCTTAATGGTATAGGATCTCATTTGAAACAAAATAAAACTAGCAATAAAGATGCAAAATAATGTAAAGTTAAAGCATCTAAATTGAACAAGTTTAAAAGATAATGATATTAAATTTAAAAGACCCAACTCCCATATGTTATTGTTCGTCGGCGAACAATAAATTATCAAGCACGCTAGCGACATTGAGTCTCAATTGATAATAAAAAGGTCTCGAGCTCCCTTATTGTAGTTTACTCAGATGTAAAAAATGTGCAAGACTTAATAAAACAAGTGTTTTTAATTATCATTGAAATGTAAAATGATTAAAAATCTAAATTGAAGATAAAGCTAATTGATAAACGTAAGAACTACAGGTGCAAAATGCGAGTCTTTTGAGTATTGACTATTTTTTCTTCTGTGTTTTGATACTCTATTTATAGCGACAAAGTAATGACAACCTCTCCCTTAAAACCTAAAATATTCTTTCGAAGAATCAGAGATATTGTGAGACTCATGGCATGGTCTTTATTCACTGTCTTTCATTTTTTGATAATCAGCCCATCTCGCCAAGATACTTGAACACAATAATACTGCTCCCATGAGATTCAAAATCATTTGAGATTGTGTCTTTATGTATCAACAGTTCACAGAATAGGTTTGCAACTGGTGGGATTTCGACATGCTCATCTTATCATGGCTTTTCATTGAGCTCAGAGTCGGCCCCTTTGTTCAGATTGTTGATTGGGCCTGACTCTTCAATCACTTAGCCCAAGTGACTTTATGACTTATCCAATACTTTAATGAGCGACGTTTCATATTTAGTCCAAACAGTTATATTACAAGGGTTTGAGTTTATAGAGCCTTAATATTCCTACTAATACTGCTGATGTTTCTATTTGCATATTTACTTTTACTAATACTACTAAATAACTAAATATTAGTAGTAGTCTAAATTCTTTCTTATCCTTATAATAGATAATACATAACTTAAATAGAATATATTAATATTATTCTATTTATTACTAGTCTGTATCTTAGTATATTAGATAATAATATAAATTTTTTACACTATTTTAAATTTTAAAAACGGATTTCTAAATTATAAATTTCAATTTCATTTTTCTATTTAATTTTAATAATGAATTTCAAATGAAATAGAATATTTCAATAATATATATTATATATATAAGGAATTTGAATATTTAATAAATTTCAATATGGACGTAGAAATTAAACATTTTCTACATTGATTGAGAATGAAATTATCAAGTGAGCTGCATTTTAGAGCTAGCGTTTAAATTAATAATTTTCAAGTCTGCTGTAGTTCAAAACTAAAGAAAGAGTAATCAATTTTCGTATCTGTTGTGTTTCATATATAAGGAAACCATATGAAACGACCAATCTGAATTACAACATCGCGGCCCCTGGAGGTTCCCCGGCAAATCCCCAGCCCCTTCAACACAGACAGAAACATTCCACATTTCTCTATATCATAGATCCAACGCTAGCCACGGTTGACTCTCCACTCTAATTTCAACGAGGTCTCAAGAAATGTTGAATATATATTTGATAGAAAGGTTTCAAATGTTTAATCACCTTGAAACCCCGAAGCAAAAGAACATTAAACAGCATATATGCCATGTTTTAGTCTCTTATATTGATGTAAAGGATCGTATTTGAAACAAAATAAAACTAGCCATAAAGATGAAACATAATGTAAAGTTAAAGCATCTAAATCGAACTAAATTAAATTAAAAATATATTAAATATATATATATATTTTTGAACTTAAAAGTACGTAGTATGTGTCCGGTCTTATTCGAGTATAAAACTCAGATTTTTAATGGTCGATGTCAGAAAATAGAAGTCTTAAAAGAACAATTGCAATCTTCAAGTGAAGTGAATAGACTAAGGTTTTAGGAATTCATGGTCCAGCATCTTGTGGCGATTAGTGATTATTAGAGTAATAAGTCACAAGTGACAAGGCGATGGCTGTGAACTCATGCGCGTATGTCACACGATCCACTACCTCCTTCTTCACCTGACCTTCTGGTTCGAACTCGTCCGCACACGTCATCTCGTTCTCATCGCCCCTTACAACTGAGGATTCACGGCTAGGATTGTGTGTAAATCCTAGCAGTTGGCCTCTAAATTTACTTTGATATATATTTAAATTGTTAATTTACCAACTAGAAGTTTATATCATTCTTTTGACTATTTGCATTATAATTAAGAAAATATTTAGTATATTTTGTGCCTTAAACTGTTGATATGTGATTATAGAGCTTAAATAAGGTTAAAATACTAGTACAAATAAGATATGGTATATTTGGTTGTCATTGTATAAATATTTGAGATTTTATGCAAAGTTATCTCCCCTTATATTTTTTAGAATCAAGGAGTTGAGCGGTAAATTTATAATATATGTGTATTAATATGAATGTGGTATGTTGTACGAGTCTTAAATGATCTATTGAGTGTGATTTAAAGGTTGTTATAGGTTTTTAGCACTTGTGTTGTAGTTTGGATACCTTAGTTGTGAGTTTCTATGAAAAAGGAGTGAATTTTGTTAAGGGTGTCTAACTTTTAATAGAAAAATAATTTAATTGTCAAACTTGTGCCATTAGTTAGAATTAAAAAAAAGTTCTTTATATACACTTAGATTATCTCAATCAAATGTCGGACTGAGAAATGAGATGCATCAAAAGTTCATACCAGGTGCTGTCATTTAAAAGCAAAATTATTGTCAAACTCGTGCAATGCGGCGCATGTGCCATTTTTGCAGATAATGAATTCCTGTTCTCTTTTGCAAATGTTTCTTCTTATTTTGGAATCACAAGCTTCTGCACATGTTTTAATCTCTGATTCGTGAATGTTGAAAGTTTATAAAGTATTTTACATTATGAAAATTTAGGATCCCCATTTCTATAATTTTGACAAATTTGGTAATCCTTATTGGGTTTAAACCCTTGATTACCTTAGTTTTGATAGTTAATTATGTTTATGTAAGTAGATCTTATAGCCACGGTAGAAAGAGCTTTTTCTGCTATGAAGTTTATGAAAAATCAACTGCATAATTGAATGGTGAATCTATGGATGAATGACTTTCTAATGACTTAGATTGAAAAAGATGTATTCAAAAGTATTGATAATAAGTTGATAATTTAACAATTCCAAAACATGAAACCATGTGGAGAAAATTTATAAGATGTGTAATTTTTAAATAATTTTTTTCAATTATTAATATGTAAATGATTTTGCCCCTTGGTCCAGGATCTTAGCTCCTCCATTGTGTCAAATAGTTATATATTCGCTCTATCCTTATATATAAAATGTTTTTAACCTAATCACGCAAATGAATAAAAGTTGATTATTTACTTAAAAGTATAGCAACATTTTAATTTTGTCCTTAATTATTATAAATGAAAATGAATTTTTTTAAAGTAAATTAATGAGAGTATTTTTTTTACCTTTTCAATGTAATAAGAGTATAATGATTTATTTATTAAAAAATATGCTAACAACTTCTTATCTTTAAAGACAAAAAAATTTTAAAAAATCTCTTATATATAGAGACGAAGAGAGTATTATTTTAATTTATCGATATGTGTGTGAGCGGGGATTATAATAAATATATTAATCACTACTCCATTTTTAAATAAGAAATTCTTAGGTTGATTGAGTGCACCACATTATTTGTGATCTATCCAATTATAATATACCAAGTCATTTAAATAAAATCTCATGGAACATTATTTTAATTAATTTTATTCTTATAATAAAATGCATATTTAATTTATTGTCTTTTCTCTCTTTACACTATCATTAATGTCATAATTAATTTATATTTAATGTTATCTAAATATCATGCTTTTATTGGATAGACCATAGATGATGTAGCATACAATTTACTTAAGAATTTTTTTTTTTGATTTAGTATCCAAGGATGAGACTTTTGCAACTTTATTTAGTAACACTTCATTTAAAGGTTAAATGACAATTTAGATTCTAAATTATAGGTTCATAGATGATTTAAACCTTAAACTCATATTTGATATTAATATTTTAGACCTTGAACAATTAAACCTCCTAGGTATTCCAGCCCATGCTGTTACTTTCAAGTAAACTCCATTAATGGTGGCCTGTGAATTTTCTCTCCCTCCCTATCTCTGGCTCTCTCCTCTCCCACGTGCTCTCTTCTCCGTCTGATCTCCATCACACCGTCACCACCAACAAAGCAAGCATCGTAAGAGAGCGCAGTGCACCATACCCACCACAGTTGGCTTTTCTAAAGCACGATTTCGCTATCTTCGTCAGCCACTTTCTTCCCTCTTTCACGAGCGACCTGTGTGTTCTCACGAACAAGCGCTTCGCATTTCCGCTGTGAACGTTGTACTGAGAGAAAAAGTTGGGTGGCATCGAGTCCTTCATTATCTGAACATCAATCAAATTCGAGACAACGGTTCTCAACTTGAATTTTTGAACACTCAAGTTATATTTAGTCCAATAAAAAAATACCTTATACCACTTATATTCCCACTGCATTTGCATGGCAGCACCATGAAGACGCCAAGGTTTATAGTGGTCCTTCTAAACAGCAGCAGCAAGATGCAGAGCACTATTTCCATAGGAATCAGCTTGTCGGAAAGCACTCTCTTTGACGAAGTCTCTCATCCTCAAGAGGTTAAACTCTGTTTTCGATGGCTAGAAGCACAACGTTCTTGTTCTTTGCGTCTAGGTCCTGTATGGCTGACGGGAAAGTGTCTAGTATTTCTCTACCATTTTTGTCACTCCTAACTTGGATTCTGTCAGAAGTGGCGTCTCCTTTGTCCTTTTCCGCTTACTGTTCTTCATCTTCTGTTCACTCATGTTTTGAGTCCCACCATTACTTGTTTATTTTTGCCCACATATGCTTCTCCTTCTCCCTCTTTGATATTTTAGGGCAGTGGACCTTGTAGCTTGATGATGATGATGGAGCGAGAGAAAAATAGCAGTGAGGTGAGAGAAAATGTGGGCAAAGTATACGGAGGTGTGGGTGAGAGAAAATATCAGCCCCACTAAAAGTAAGGGTATATTAGAATTAGATTCAAGAGAAATGAAATTGAAATTGAAATCATGCTTTCAATGGTTTGGTATGCATGAATTCAATTCTTTATGGATTCCAATTCTGCCAAAATATCCAAAATTCAATTCCATCTCCATCATGATAGAATTGCCACAATTTCATGGAATTGTCAAAAGTGCCCCACATACACACTCCATCATGATGGTTGAGTTTTTTTTATAAGGGCATTTTGGTCTTTATCTATTTTAAATACATATATTTATTAATATTATATTCAGATTCCATCTTCATACCAAACATACATTTATAACTCAATTCTATTCTGATTCTAATTCCAATTCTAATTCTGATTCCAATTCCGATTCCGATTTTGATTTCATCAAAAACTCTTCCACCATACCAAACGAGGTCTAACAGAGTTGATTCGAAATTAATGGTAGGGCAAGATTGTTTCAATTTTAATTTAAAAATTCAGAATATACGAAATATACGTTCAAGATTCAAATGTTGATGAACCTAGCTTAGGTTTGATATTATTATCTAATCATTTAAATTAATACAAAATTTTGAAATATTTATATAAAATTATCAAAATGTGTCAGGCCGGGGTTGTGAAAACGAGCCTAGCCTGACCCACACTTGTCAAATTCTAGGTTATATTTTCAGCTCTAGATGCAAGAATTTTGTTCATATCTTTTCTAGTTTTCTTTCACATTTCATTTGAGGATTTCTCCTCAAAACCCAACTCATATGAGTATGTTACTACATTACAAGGGTTTTTCATGGGGTTAAGGTTTCTCACTTTAAATTGAAATTTCTATACTCTAAAACAAGGGGTGGAGTACAAATATAACAGACGTAGAAATTAAACATTTTCTACGTTTATTGAGAATAAAATTTTCAAGTCAGCTGTATGTTAGAACTAGCGTTTAAATTAATAATTTTCACGTGGGTTGTAGTTCAAAACTAAAGAAAAAGTAATCAATTTTCATATTGCTGTGTTTCAAAAGGAAACTATATGTAAGGACCAATCCAAATTGCGACATCGCGACTCCTGGAGGTACAATATATTAACATGATATTAAATTAAAATATATTTTTTTGAATTCAAAGTAGAATGTGTCTGGTCTTATACAAGTACAACTCTATTAGCTGTGAAACATTGATACTTTAAATTTTTTGATGAATTCATGTACTTGCCAATAATTTTTCAATATATATCTCTGGAATATTATTTTTTAATTAAAAATATTATCAATTTTTAATAGGCATATGATACTTTTAAATTGTCAGTTGATGCCTTAGAATCGATATTTCAAGACATTTTTAAGTAATTATTTTTTTAAGATTTTCATATTAATTTTTTATTCCTAATATATTTTTATAATTTTTTTTAAAAAATTACAGATTAAAATTCCTCAGGAAAGAAGTTTCTTATGTTTTCAAAGTAAAAAGTTGTATTCATTTTCTAATATATTTTACTATTCATTTTTAAGCATTTTCATTTTATATTATAAATTAGTTTACAGATTTTAGTGTGTTTTATAATATTTTTTATGAATATATCTACCACGTATTGTATTCTATATTTCTATCATAGTTTATCAGAATTATAAAGGTCAATCCATATTATTCCATCAGAAAATGGAAGTCTTAAAACAACAATAAAACACGGGTTTCAGGAATTCATGATCCAGCATAATGGGGCGATCAGTGATGATTAGCGTAATAAGTCACTAGCGACAAGGCGATGCCTGTGAACTCAAACGCGTACGTCACCCGATCCACTACCTCCTTCTTCACCGGACCATCCGGTTCGAACTCGTCCGTACACGTCATCTCGTTCGTCATCGCCCCTGACAACTGCGTATTCACGGCCTTTATCACGTACTCGAAACTACCGCCCTTCCCTTCTTCTAACTGCCGCATCCAAGATAATGCGTCACCTACGTTATCTACGGCGGTCCCAAGGGTCTCTTCGCAGACGCTAAACGCGCCCGCGTAGCTGCTGTTGGCTTTGCCGGACAGAGCGGAGACATCGGAGGCTACACGGCGGATCACTGGTTGGGCCACGGTGATGCCTATGCGAGCCAGAACGGCAGGGCTTTGCTTGATCACCTTGGCGTAGGGAGAGATGGAGGAGTAGCAGAGGTCAGGGTTATCGGTGGTGTTGCAAGCTGACCGGATGAAATCAGTGGCGGCGGCCAATGTTGGAGGGATAAGGAAGAATGTGGCCGCCAGGAGGAGGAGGAGGAGGGAGAGGAGCTGAGAGATTGGGGTTTTCATGGCGGCTTGCTTCGGTGATGGATTGGAACAGCCCGGGTTTAAATAGGATTTCACCTGATATATGGGGCTCCGGTTTGGTGGTCACGATTAAATACAAGTACATTGAATTTCGTTTTGACTTTTGAATTCGCACACAAAGTACAAAACGCACAAGAACGAGATTAGGAAAAAGAACCACAATTGAAAATCCCGCCAGAAGAATTATGCATTAATGTTAGACATTCAATACACTTTATTTGCCATTAAAGGCTTCAAGCTACACTGTTCAGTTTTAATGAGATTTGAATTTAATGGGTGGTTGAAGTCTACTGTTTCCTTCGTTTTTATATATAAAATATTTTTAATTAAATTTTACATATCAATAAAGATTTATTATTTAATTGAACTCATAAAAACACAATAATTTTTTAATTTTATTTTTAATAATATCATAATTAATGTCATGATGGTGGTAGGAAAAACATACAATTAATAATCTATTTTATTTTTTAAATTAAGGATAAAATTGTCTAATTACTCAAAAATATCATTGCCACGCCTTATATTTAGGTACAAAATAAGCTTCTAAAAAATATCATATATATAAGGATGAAGCAAGTAACTTAAATGAATATTTTAATTATAACTACTAAATTTTATTAATACTTAAAAATTATTAAAATATATTTTTAAAAAAATTCAAACTAATCCCACAGTCAAAGACTCAAAGCATTACTCATGCATACACTGAACCCTACAAAAAAAAATTATTAGACATTTGATTAAATAGGATGATTATTTTTGTGTTAAGTGAGATATTCACTAAATGAGTAGACTCACTAGATCTATTCTCTTCCTTCGATCAACGGAATCCATCTTCTTACTATAGGATCGCAGTGATGAGAACCCATAGGAAGAAATATATATCTAGTAGTATCTTGTATATTTCAATAAATAGGCATGGAAGTTGATAAACTGACAAATAAAATTGTGCAATAAAAAATGTATAAATAAGTATTTTACATTATCTTTTTCTCATTTTGACCCCTTTTGATTGCGTTCCTAGAAATTGCATATAATTACTTTGCTTACAAGCCTGACCATTCACTAAATATCGAATCGTGCAAGCATTCTCGCTACACGCACTCAGCCATCAAGAGACTTTTTCATAGATTTTCTTTTACATTTCACCATATGATGATTTATTCTCATGACCCGACTCGCATCTCGGGCTCTTATTAAGGGTTTTTCACGGGGTTAAGGTTTATCTTATACTTAGATTAAAAATGCTGAAGAATTTCCTTATTAAATCACCTATAGAGAAAAGAGAGAATTGCTCTAAAACCGACAACCTACTTATTGTATCTTAGTTTTAAAGAATATATAGATATATATACATATTGCGTTACTTTTTTGTCCTTATATATATATATATATATATATTGCGTTTCTTTTTCGTCCTTATATATATGCACTTATGCAAAATAAACATTCATTTATTAAACAAGGGGGATAGATTAATTTCCCCAGTTGTTTTATTCTTACTTTACTGGTACTATAATTCTTAAAAGAAAAAAAATTAAGTACTTCACCTTATCTATTTAATATATTTTTATACAAAAAAAAATCAAGACAAGTAAATTTTAAAAGGTTTATAATATTAGTGATAAAAAAAATTATAGAATTAATAATATATAAAAGATTCATTCAAAGCAAAAAAATGGCCATACATAATCTTCCAAGATTAATAAGAAGCTCCACAATTGCCAGGCTATCTGGCTCAGGACATGCTTGTCTCCAATTAACCATCTGCACTAATAAATACTCCCTCCGTTCCTATTTCTAGGATAGGACACCTTTTGGAAGGAATTTTTAATTCAAAATATATGACACTTTGTAATAATTAAATTACTTTTTTTAATTTATTATATTATTATTTAAAATTAAGGGTAAAAATAAAAGTATATATCATTTTTTTATGATATAAAAAAAATAACTTTTTTATGATGTATGAAACCATTCTATAATATGGACCGAAAGGAGTATTAATTAAAACAGTTAAATTGAACAATATGATTAAAGGAGCCACCCGCTCCCTCTTGAGGTGAGATCCGACGAACACATCTCTCACACACGTACAACGAACGTTATTCCAAAAGTGAGGGCAGGCGTGAACCCTAGCACGGCATGATCTCTGCACGCTGTTCATAAGCAACAAAATTACTATAAGCAAAAATCTTTTCCTTACTCTTTGAAACTTTCAATTTATATTTGATAGAAAGGTTACAAACGTTAAATCACCCAGAAACCCCGAAGAAAAGCATTAAACAACATACGGGTAACTATGTTATGTATGAGTATCTCTTATATTTTAAAGGATCACATTTGAAAACAAGATAAAACTAACAACAAATAAATAAGATAAAACATAATGTAAAGTTAAAGCATCTCAATCGAACAAAATCAAATTAAACAATATTTATTTGTATTTAAAGTAGAATACCTGGACTTATACGAGTATAGGTAAACCTATAGATTTCTATAAGTCGATCGTTATATTCAATCGGAAAATAGAAGTTTTAAAGCAACATACTCCAGGGAAAGTCACTAGATACGGGTTCCGGGAATTCATGATCCAGCGTCTTGGGGCGATCAGTGATGATTAGCGTCATAATTCACGAGCGACAAGGCGATGCTTGTGAACTCAACCGCCTACGTCACGCGATCCACTACCTCCTTCTTCACCGAACCTTCAGGTTCATCTTCGAACCCGTCCGTGCACTCGGTTTTCGGGGAGTGCATCTGGAACTCGAAATCACGGCCCTTGGCTTTTACTAACTGCCTACCCAATATAACCCGCCACCTACGTCATCTAAGGCGGTTCCAAGGGTCTCAACGCAGACGCTAAGCGCGCCCGCGTAACTGCCGTTGGCTTTGGGGGAGAGAGCAGAGACATCGGAGGCTACACGACGGAGCACTGGATGAGCCACGGTGATGCCGATGAGAGCCAGAGCGGCAGGGCTTTGTTTGATGACATGGGCATAAGGAGAGATGGAGGAGTAGCAGAGGTCGGAGTTGTCGGTGGTGTTGCAAGCTGACGGGATGAAATCGGTGACCATGGGAGGAGGGGCGGCGGCGGCAAATGCTGGAGGGAAGGAAGAATGTGACGGCGAAGAGGAGGAGGGAGAGGAGCTGAGGGCTTAGGGTTCTCATGGCGTCTTGCTTCGGTTGATGGACTGGAACAGCCCGAGTTTATATAGGATTTAAATTTCGTTTTGAATTCGCCCACAAAGCAGAAGAAGTGGACTAGGAAAAAGAACCGCAAATTCAAAGTCAAAACAAATAACGGGTTTGGATTGGCAGGGAAAAAAGATTATTATCTGAGAATGTCGGTTTCACTATGCATTAATGTTAGATGTTCCTTGCACTTTATTTGCCACTAGAGCTACAAGTGGTTCAGATGGATGGTTCCTAATTCCGTTTTATTAATTGGGTCTTACTCCGGTCAACGGAATCCATCCTCTTACTGCAGAATCCCAGTGATGAGCACCCATAAGAATAAGAAATATAAAATATCATGTATATTTTAATAAATAGGCATGGAAGTAGATAAATTGACTAATAAAATATAGGGTAACAAAAACTTTAAATAAGTATTTTTTCCCTTTTACTCATTTTGAGTTTTTGACCCTTTTTGTTGCTTTCGTAAAAATTGGATATTGTACTGACCATATTCTCTAAGTATCCAATCATGCGTGTACTCTCGCTACACGAACTCAGCTAGCTGTCAAGGTCATTGTAGTGGCAAGGCTCTTTCTCATATATATATATATATATATATATATTCTTTTACATTTCATAGGAGAGGACTTGTTCTCATGACCCGACTCGTATCTCTTGCTCTTATTATAAAGGTTTTTCATGGGGTTAAGGCTTATCTTCCTTTGAAATGCTGGAGAATAATTTCCTTCATAAATCTCCTATGGACGTGGAGAAAATTTCTTGAGAAACCTACTTGTTATACCTTAGTTGATGCAAACTATTATTTTTTGCGTTAATTAAGTTGGAATATCTACCTTAATGAAAGGGGTGGCGTACAAATAATAATTAAGTTGGAATTAAGCATTTTCTGCATTGATTCGGAAAGAAATTTATACGTCTATATTACAACTAACCGCTTCTGTTGTGGTTCAAAACTAATAATATAAATGACAAAAAATAATATATAAAAGATTCACATATTTTAATTTTATTAAAAACAATCACCTTATTTATATAAGGTCAAATATATATTCCCTTCAACAAATATTTTAAGTTATTCTTAACTAAATTATACTCTCCAATAAGTTAGTCAATTATCTTTAAAAATAGGCACTCTTTCCAAGTTTATCCCTTTTTAACAAGGTATCTCAATTAAAAAATTTATTAATTGCATCTCCTAATTAAAGATATTTTTGGAAAAGCATATTTAATTATAACTTGAAAGAAAAAAAGTTCTATAATTTTGAACGTCTTATATGAAAAAATACCTTATATTTTTTAATGAAAGAGGTAAGTTTTTTTATTTTAATTTGTGGCACTAATGATCAAATCCCAACCGTAGAAATTGGTAATTAAATTCCATGGCATTCGTCAACCAAATAATATATTTTGTTACATTATTTGATCATGAATTTAGTACTCTGATATTGAAATTATTGATTCCTTATTCAGTGTTGTTGCAATTGTAACACCTTAAATAAATTTAGTGTAAACTATGCTTTAGTCTTTTAATTTATACAAAATTTTATTTTAATTTCTTAATTTTATAAATTATAGTCTTTTAATCCTGATACGTTAGTTTCATCACAAAAAGTTTTTATATTGAATTTTTAAATATTGAAAAAATATTTTTAAATGTTGACATATTAAGTTTAAATTTTTTTAAATAATAATAACTGACACCAAAATAACAACTTGAAACTCATTATGTTAGGATTAAAGGATTAAAAAGATATTTTATAAAATTAAGAAATCAAACTAAAATCTTATATAAAATTAGGAGACAAAACATATATTTAAACGATAAATTTACTTGTTATTTAAACTGTTAATGAGAATGGTCGTTATCTGAACTGAAATGGCTATTTCATCATGTACTCCAACATATGTGGATGTATGCATATGTATATAGGCTTGTTTGGAAGTCTATTTTGGAAATAATTTAAGAACTGTTGAGACTATTTTTATTTTCTTGCTTTGAGAAATAGTGTTTTGTAGAACATATTTTGAGAATAAAAAATAATAAAAATGAGTGTTTTTCTCATTTTTTTTTATTATTCAGAACAATAATTCCAAAATATTTAAAAGTTATTTTTAATTTTTTATTCTCCATAACAATATTTTTCTTTGTTCCCCAAAACATTTTTTAAAAACATGTTATCAAATAAATTTTTTTATTTTCTTTTTTTGAAGAACAGAAAACTATTTTCAGAACAAGTTTCAAGTCCTATATCTCTCTGTTTTTTTTTTATTTAAATGCATGAGTATGAGCATCAATCTCTCTAATTGTAAATGATCACATTTGAAACAAGATGAAACTAGCAATAAAGACAAAACATGATGTAAAGTTAAAGCATCTAAATCTAAATCGAACAAATTTAAAAGGAATTGATACGAAATTTTAAATATTTTTTAAAAATTTAAAAGTAGCATGTCTGGTCTTACACGAGTTCACCTCTTTCAGAGTAATTCCAGTCACATTTAATTTTCTGTCGTGGTTGTGTTCAGTCAGAAAATACAAGTCTCGAAACAACAATCTCCAATGAAAGTCAATAGACGAAGATTTCAGGAATTCATAACCGAACATCTCATCATGATGGTCCCTTGTTAAGCGTAATTAGTCACCAGCGACAAAGCGATGCCGGTGAACTTAGTCGCGTAAGTCACGAGATCCCCTGCTTTCTTATTCACCGGACCTTCCGGTTCATCTTCGAACTCGTCCATACACGTCCACTCGTTCGTCAATGCCGCCGACAACTCCGTATTCACGGCGTGTATCATGAACTCTAAACCCCAGCCTTTGCCGGCAGCTAAATGCCGCAGCCACTTAGCGAGTCACCTATTTGATATATGGCTGTCCCTAGGGTCTCCACGCAGACGCTAAGCACGCTCGCTTTACTGCCGTTGGCTTTGCAGGGGAGAGCGGAGACATCGGAAGCTACAGGAGGACCGTAGGTCGAGCACAGTTATGCCGCCGAGAGCTAGAGCGGCAGGGCTTTGCTTGATGACATTGGCGTAACCGCATAAGGAGAGATGGGAGGAGTAGCAGACGTCAGCGCCGTCGGTAATGGTGCAAACTGACCGGATGAAATCGGTGGTGGTGGGAGGAGCGGTGGCGGCCGATAATGGAGGGAGAAGGAAGAATGTGACCGCCAGGAGGAGGAGGGAGAGAAGACGATGGCTTCCGGTCTCATGGCGGCTTGCTTTTTGGTATTGATGGAATCCAACAGCCTGGGTTTCAGTAGGATTTATTGCATTACAATAATACCTTTGTTTTGAATTCGGCCACAAATTACAGAAGAAGTATGTTTGGAAAAAGAACCACAAATTCAAAACAAATAACGGTTTCACTATATGCATTAATAATCTCGGACGTTGCTTGACTCCGCAGTCAGCATCTATGTTTGTAGGTGTATGCTTTTGTCCTTTGGTTCAACTATACACTTTATTTGCCATTAAAGGACATTATGGGGTTCAGTTTTTATGGGTGGTTCTAATTTTGTTTTATTCTGTCTTAATTCAGCACTTGATCATTTGACGGAGTTGAAACTGAGAAAAGCTCAACTCAGTGGCATCATTTCTAGTGAGTTGCAGAATTTGTCCATTCTTCAAACTCTTGACCTTGGAGGTAATTATAATATGATTTCGAGTAGCCTTGAGTGGGTTTCTAACCTTTATTCTTTGAGATATCTCGATTTGGCACAAGTTAATCTAAATCGAGCAACTAATTGGCGATCATTGATAACCAAAATCCCTTCTTTGATAGAGTTTCACTTAAATGACAGTCATCAACTTCCCGACGTCAATCCCGAACCCACCACATGAACTCTTCCACTCATCTGGGAGTCCTCAACCTCACGAAATCGTTTGAGTTCCTTTACTTCTCTTGAGTGTTTAAATTGAGCAAAGTCTAGGGGTGAGAAAAAGATTTTATTATCCAGGTCAAAGTATCACTTTATTCTATTCAGTACTTTGTAATTTATTTAGTTAATTTCCTATGCATACAAATGTGCGAGAGAAAAAATCTAATCAAATATTGTTGCTATTTATATATTATTATTACGTTATAATCCATTTTTCTGGCCAAATTTATATAATATGTGTATGATATAAAATCAAAATTTAACAAATGATGCTAGTTCATGTGGGGGAGCTGCAAGACTGCCAAATGACTCTTGGCTGCTTGGGTTTTTCTGTAAGCTACAGCCTTGTCCACCATTGCTGAGGTTTTGGGAATTGCAAAAGCAATGGAAATAAGCTGGCAGACAGGCCTGCGCAACAGTGAAATCTTATCTGATTGTGTGGAAGCCATGAACCTTCTCACAAGGGAATTGCCTCAACCTCACCCTTTCCGGGACATTGTTCAATAATCAATATACTATTGACCTTCTCAACAAGCAGTGGAATGTATCTGTCAAAACTTACATCTTTGGAGAAGATAATTCTGTTGCTGATCTTTTAGCCAAATATGGCCACTTTATGCCGCTTGACTTTGGGGTCCTTGATCGGTATCCGCCTTTTCTGCAAAGGGTTGAACATGATGAAGGATAGCTTTGTTTTTCCTGTTTTGGTTTTGCTGGATTTAGTTTTCCTTGTATCCGTACTTTTTTTTTTTAAATTAATTCATGGTTCAGTTTATGTTCAAAAATAAAAGTCATGCGAAATGTTCTCTGCATTTAATGTTCGCATGACTCTCGTTTAACAATGGAACGGCCTGCAAATCTTTGTTATGGCAGGTGTATCTAATTCGCATGCTGGGGTTTCGAAAAAGAGAAGATATCGCGTTCATCACCAAAAGAAAGAAAAAATCAGGGCAAGTCTTTCCTTCTCTTTTGCTTTTCTAGCGACAGTTGACTACAAGTCAAATCTTGTAATAATCATGACTCCAATTAATAATTGTGATGGACTCAGATCAGATAGATCATCGAATACCTATGAAAATTTGGTGTCTATAAATGACCTGGGGTTTCACATCATTTTAGTTACAACTAGGTATATCGTTGAGTGGGTTATTGTCTGAGTTCACACAATTTATATTATTGGAAACTCTAGATTTGTCAAACAATGAGTTTGGTGGCACTCTTCCACGAACTCTTGGTCAACTTTCCAGTCTCAACGAACTGACACTTTCTTCAAATGACTGAGCGAAGTGATCAATGAAGCACATCTATCATCTCTATCAAATTTGAGAGTTTTGGTTGTCGCCGACAATTCCATTTCTTTCAACTTAATTCAGTTCAAATTGGCTGCCATCTTTTCAATTGTACAGGTTATCCGCATCATCATGCAACTTGGGTCCAAACTTCCCACGGTGGCTCAGAAATCAAAAGAGGCTTGAGTAGTTGGATATTTCTAGTGGTGGAATTTTTGATTCCATTCCTGAATGTTTTGGGGCTTATCTCCAAGTTTGAAACACTTGGATCTTTGCCATAACAAAATGCATGGCAACTTAACAAACCTCACAACACAAAAAGAATTGCATTTTCTTAACATGTTTAATAATTCGTGGTCAAGAAGACTTCCCGATTGTTGGAAGCATTTTTAAGACTTGGAGGTTTTGAGTTTGGGCAAGAATAATTTGTTAGGTAGAATACCCAACTCGGTTGGTTCTTTGAAAAACAGTAAGGTTATCTTGTCAAATGGCAACAACTTCTACGGTGAAATGCCATCTTTCACGCGTTCTCCCAAGTTGGAGGTCATTAATCTTGGGTACAACTGATAGAGAAAAAAATACTAAAAAAAACAAATACTAAAGAAAACACTTTTGTATTAAGCCTTCGTTACTGCTTACAAAAACTTGATATATCTTACACAAGATGTTGCTTTAGTTATAGAGCTGCAAATGAAATTAAAACCACACAATAAATTAGTGGCCAAACTTACACTATAATTAAACACCACTAATTTAATTAATTAAAAATTTTCCAACCACATATCATTTTGTGGATAACCCACATTCATTTCTCTCCACAACTTTATATAATGGCATATGTAGATTTCCATTAGCCATACGTGTCTTCTCCATTTCCATTTAATTAATTTATTAAGTTTAATTATTCAACAACAACAACTTGAGTAGAAATTTACATGAATGCATATAAGCTACAAGAGCACACCTGCGAGTTTATGCAATCTAGAACAACTTCAAGTTTTGTATCTTGCTCAGAATGAGATTATAGGAATAATATCTCATTGCCTCGATTCTATGGTTGCCATGCAATTCTCAAGTGGCATTTTTCCAGACTATTTTTATTCAAATATTGGGCCTAGAGATCGCATTTTCCTCAACAGTGTAGGAAGTGAGGTTATAATCTTGAATGGCTATGTTGCATTAATACCAGCGATTGATCTTTCTAGTAGTCACTTACAAGGATAGATCCCTGATAGCATGACAAAACTTTCAGGATTGTATTCCTTAAATCTTTCAAGCAATAATCTCACAGGATTCATTCGCAATAACATGGTTCAGCTACCAAGTTTGGAGTCACTTGATTTATCAAGTAGTTCCCTTTCTGGTGGAATTCCAGCTAGCTTCTCGAGTTTGTATTCTCTCTCTAACTTGAATCGGTCCTTCAACAGTTTATCAGGAGAAATTCCACCCAGCGCCCAATTGCAGTCCTTTGATTCTTCCAGTTATACAGGAAACCAAGGATTTTGTGTGGCACACCTCTCATTCAAGAATGTTCGAGAGAAGCAACAAGTTTTGATCATTCAAATCCTAATCAATTGATAAACCTGGGATTTTACATCAGCATGTTTTTTTGGATTCACCATTGGATTTTGGGGAGCCTGTCGAACTTTGATCCTCAAAAATTCATGGAGACGAGCCTACTTTAAATTCTTCAGCAACATGAATGATTGGATTTATGTCCAAGCATTCCTCTTCGCGCCAAAATTGAAGCGAAGATTTCAGCATGAAGAGGTAATGAAACTTCCATCACAAACTCCATATGACTCCTGATCAGTAGTACAATATATTATAACATAAAAAAATATAATTTTTTATCTCTATAATTTTATCAAAATTTATTTTTAATCTTTATAATTTTTTTAATATTTTTAATCCCTATAATTTTAAAAAGATTAAATGACGTTTGATTTTCAGGTTTCTATAATTTCAGTTTTTTTAATATTTTTAATCCTTAAAAGACTGAAAGCATTGAAAAAAATTATAAGAATTAAAAATAAAATTCAATAAAATTATATAAATTAAACATTATATTTTTCCTAAAATATATGACCCCGACATTGGTGACATCAAGTTGTGACTATTCCCAAAAATGTTTTACACAGTTGAATGAATATTAGATGCGTAAGTAATATGGAGTATTTTTTTTCCCCCCTTCCTTGTCGTCTTTATGTTTAATTTTTGAATATTTAGATACTTTAAGGAGCAAATCGCTGAAATTGCTAACCTAGCGGCTACCACTAGGGCGGCTGGGACCTGTGCTCATGTTTCCTGATTGATTCAATGCTAAAATAATGCATTTCCATATATTTCTTATTCTTTTTTTTTTTTGGAGAGTGTTTATTCTTCTTATTATTATAGTGTTATCCCTCTTCTTTTCTTTTTTCGTTGCTGTAAATTTGTTTCGGGCCCGAATGTTTCAAACTAAACTTTATGAGCTATGAGAGATAACAGATAATTGAGCCGATGCATGCTGTTTTAGTTAGGATTTTATTTTATGTGTACCAGATCTGCATAATTACTATTTAATATAATTCGTATCCCGCTTTTTAAAAAATTAATGAGGGCATGAACATAATTTCTTACATTAAATTTGTTTATGTTGGTCATTTAAATTCTACATGTTTGTAGTATCTCATTCAAGAGTTTCAGCTTTCTAGCCCGAAATTCATGGTTTGATTTATTCGTTTGTTCAGTTTAAAAAGGAAGTGCAATGTGTTGACCAATGTTATAGCCGCAAAAAAAACAAAAAACAAAAAAAGAGTTGAACCGATAAGGCAATAACAACACATCTGATATTAATTGGGAGAATGACATTAAGGGTCTTAAAAAATATACTTTATTGCAATTTAGATCTAAATGAATTTAATATTACTCTACAGGCCTTGAGACCTTTATTGCCAATTTTTTGAGGCTAAAAGTACGATTTTACCCTCTGTTTGATTTGAATTCAAAAAACCTGCGTGAAAAACTGGAAGTAATGGATTGTATCTCTTCTTTCTCATTTCTTCAGTTGTCACACCGTCATTGTTGACCATCGACAGCGTGGACGAGTGTAAAAGCCTTGGCTGTTAATACTTCAACCACAGATCATGATTTTTCATCTCTTTCCTTGCATTGAATTGCTATTGATTGCTGTTGATCGCTGCTGAAATTCAAGCCCTTGCTACCGTTGGAGGAGGACTGTGCTAGTCAGAATCTTCCTCTCCATTCATTCTTCTTCCTTCTTCCTCCCCTATTGTGCATTCTCGTCAGTTCTCTCCCTCATTTTCCCTTACTTCGCATATCACCAGAAAAGAATGCTAACACTTAGTTTTCCCTCTTTCAACTTATGCTTTATGCTAATAGACAATAAATCTTTACTTTGTATTAGCCTACAGTAGTTTGCATCATTCTAGTTTTTGGAAGTTGACATGCTTTATCGATGAGATTGTACTCTTTAGTTTTAGTCAAACATCATATCCAGATATGTTTTATCTATGCATAATGAACGTGAAACCACACGGCTCCGCAAGCTTTAATTCAAAGGTGGTTTTGGCTAAGGAAAGATATTTTGGATGCTCTTGTTTAAAATCTTGCTAGCCTTATTTATTGTCCATATCATTATTTTCATGCTTGCTGCGGCAATTTAGCTAAACATAATATTGTTGTAGGTTTTGTGCATTTGTCATGAAAAAATAGGACTATTTAGCACTTAGTCATAAAGCTCTAATATGCTCTTTGTTTTGAACTTGAAACCCAAAACCTGTGATTATTCAAAACAATATGACTTTCAATTGAGAATATATGAACCTTGTGTTGTGCATAATGGATATTGTGTTATATATTGTTTGTCTAAGTTGAGCTTTTTGTTAAGCCTAGCTTAATGATAAACTAAAATTGTATGGGCTTTCAATTGAGAATATATAAACCTTATGTTGTGTATAGTGGATATTATGTTGTACATTGTTTGCCTAAATTGAACATTTTGTTAAGTCTAGCCTACTGATAAACTAGAATCGTATGAACTTTTAGTTGAGAGTATATGAATTTTATGTTGTGCATAGTGAATTTTGTATTGTACATTGTTTGCCTAACTTGAGCATTTTGTTAATTCTAGTCTACTGATAAACTAGAATCATATGAATTTTTAGTTGAAAATATATAAACCTTGTATTGTGTATAGTAGATATTGTGTTATAGATTGTTTGCCTACTTGTGTATTTTGTTAAGCCTAGCCTACTGATGATAAAATAGAATTGTATGAACTTTTAGTTGAGAATATATAAACCTTGTATTGTGCACAATGAATGTTGTATTATACATTATTTGTCTATTTGTGCATTTTGTTAAGCCTAACCTACTACTAATAAAATATAATTGTATGGACTTTTAGTTGAGAATATATGAATCTTATATTATGTGTAGTGGATATTTTATTATACATTGTTTGCTTATTTATGCATTTTGTTAAGCTTAGACTACTAATAATGCAGAATCGTATGGACTTTTAGTTAAGAATATATGAATTTTATGTTATACATAGTGGATATTGTGTTATACATTGTTTGCTTGCTTGTACATTTTGTTGAGTCTAGCCAACTGATAAAGTAAAATTGTATGGACTTTTAGTTGAAAATAAATGAACCTTATATTGTGCATAGTAGATATTGTGTTATGTATTGTTTGTCTATTCGTGCATTTTGTTAAGTCTAGCTTACTGATGAAGTAGAATCGTATGGACTTTTAGTTAAAAATATATGAATATTATGTTGTGCATTGTGGATATTGTATTATGCGTTATTTGCTTACTTTTGCATTTTTTTAAACCTAGCATACTGACAAAGTAGAATCATATGGACTTTTAGTTGAGAATAAATAAATATTATATTATGCATAGTAGATATTGTGTTATGCATTATTTGCCTAACTTCAGTATTTTGTTAAGCCTACAATAATGATAAATTAAAATTACATGGACTTTCATGTGAGAATATATCACAAACTTTCTTTTCTTGCAATCGTCTTTAACTAGCTGTCCTCCTTGGAGGCCACGAACAAGGAGGATAGAGTTTTTCAAGATAAAAAAAATTTATCATTGTTCAAGATGTGAGAAGGCTAGACACAATCGCAAGACATGCAAGAATCTTAAACTAACATGAGAAGTAGTTATATTGTACATCTTTGGTATATATAGGCAACTATAATTATATACATGAAAGTATTCTTAAGTAATATTTTTTGGGTAATTGAAAATCATAGATATTTTTTGTTTATATATAAAGAAACAACTGTTAGATATTTTGGATATAGAGGCTAACTTTTTGTGTATATCAGACTTGAAATATTATGTCAAATTTCATGTGGGTACTTGTTTTAGTACCTAGACTAATACCAACATGAAATTATTCATATTTAATATAATTGTCCTTCTTAATATTAGAAATGCATGAACTTTCTATTGAGCATGCGTAAACATCGTCTTGTGTATAATGGATGTTGTGTTGTACATGGTCTGCCTAACGTCATTTTATTATAGCCTAGGCTAGTGAAATACTGGAAATGCATTGATTTTTTATTGAACACACATGGACATCGTCTTGTGTATAGTGAATGCTGTGTCGTGTATGGTTTGCCTTGTCATTTTTGTTAAAATCAATGCTAGTAAAATACTTGAAATGCATGGACTTTTTGTTGAGCATGCGTAGATATCGTCTTGTAGATAGTAGATGTTGTGTTGTCCATAGTCTATTTCATTGTTTCAAGGGTTCACGCAGGTTCTGAATTTAAATCAAGCAAAGGGCAAAGTCATACTTTTGGTTTTAAGAAAATTGGCAATAAGGGCCCCAAGGCCTACAGAGCAATATCAGATTTATTTAAATCTAAATTATAATAAAGTTTGTTTTTAAGACCTTTAGTGCCATTCTCCCTATTTAATTCTCCCAGTAAAATGAGTAAAAATATGGTGTCATGCCAGCTGGCAGGGACCAGAATGCTGTAATTGATTTTTTCTGTTTAGATTATCTTTAAAAATACATTCAAATTATATTTAAAATATATTTTTATCAGATTCAATAAATAATTAGATCTTCTAAATTGACTTTTGTCAAATATAAACTTATAAAGTTATAATATTGCGGTAATTAAAGAGGATACCTCTAATTAAACTTCACAATACATAAATGACTAAATCCCATGTACATAGTGCTAATCGTTTGAATTATTTTATTTACAAGACCAAGCACGAGAATGCAGCATCCTAATATGAGTCCAGAAAAACTGCTGAAAACCTCCGTATTTCTTGTCGGGCAAGCTTATTATAGTCCAAAATGGATTATGTTGTGTTAAAATAAACAGTTTTTTTTTTCAATATATAAGGGATAAAAAATGACAAAAATTTAATTAGGGACCATGTAGGTATAAAAACAAGCACCCAATGCGATGCTTTCTCCTAATTCTGGGCCGACGTTCAATATCGCTAAGTCAATGAACTGTTTCATGCGGTGGGCCGATGGCCTCCAAACACGACCAAAACGCGGCCATTCAACGGAAGGGTTTCGTGCGCGAAAAATCCATTCGCAGTATTGAAGTCTGGCCTCTTTTTTATGTAGTTTAAAAATTTTATAAAAAAATTATTTCATAAAGATTTTATGAAAAATTGAGATTATTTTATATTTGATTATAATAATAAAAAAAATTATATATTTAAATTTTAAAATATATTTCTTAATTTTTGTTTTATAATTTAAAATTTTATGATATTTTCATATATCTTACATTTTTAAAATATTCTCTCATTTATCAGATGAAATTATTTTAAAATATATTTAAAGTAGTTTATTAAAATAATTAAAAATTTAATTTTTTTTAAAAAATTGATTATTTTAAAAGTTTAAAACAAATGTTATGAAAATTTATAAAATAATTTTTTTGAAAATTAAGAAATTTTTTAATAAACTGAAACAAACATTAGTAAAATTTTGGAAGATGTCTTTTTGTTTCGACATGATAGTTGATAATGCTGACTCAAGCGTGGATAGATTTACTGCAGGTTTGGATTGACAAAAAAAATCAATTATTGAGGCTAAATAATTGATTTTCAGAAAAATTATCCAAGCAACCAATTAATTTGATGATTGATTATTGAGCCAAGATTACATTTTAAAATAAACTCTAAGAAGTTTCTTATAAATTCAATTTTACTATTAAATAATATATTTTATTCTTAAATAAAGTTTAACAAATTTAATAATATTAAATACAGTTTTATTAATAATTTAATTTTAAAAAGTGATATTTTTATAATAATTTATATAATTAAAATTAATTTTAATATTAAATATATTGTGTTGTAACATAATTAATTAAAATTAAAATTAAAATTAATCATGTTAATCAATTATTTTTATAATTAATTATTGCCCAATTAAAATCCAAGTGAGTCCTTAGTGTCACTTCATCATGATTATGGGTATGTTTGGTTATCTTTCAACTGAGAAAACCTCACGAAATCTTGTTTGGATTAACAAAAAAATTGAACGAGCATTTATGGAGAACGAGATGAGGTAGCTTTTTTATCGAGCGATCACAGAAAATGCGCCTTCACTTTCAATCATCTTATCTTCTCTCTCTTCGTTGCTTTTCATCCCCTTTTCTTACTATCATTTTTTAACTTTTATCCAATATTTGGCACGTGTCTCTTTTTTCTCACCACAATAATTTTGCCCTTCATACCCTTGTGACATGTCACATGCATTTTCTCATTTTTTTTTACAATTAATTCATTAAATGAGACAATTTTCAAATGATAAAAAATGTACATTGAAACATAATAAGTACCTGTTTTGATTTCAATTAAATATAATAAATTATAAAAATAATTATTTAATATAATTAATTTTAATTATAATTAATTATGTTATAACACAAATGTTTAGATATTGAAATTAATTTTAACTGTATAAATTATTATAAAAAATATTACTTTTAAAAATTAAATTATTGATAAAGTTGTATTTAATATTAATAAATTTGTTAAACTTTATTTAAGAAGTAAAACATATTATTTAATAGTAAAATTGAATCTATAAGTAACCTCCTAAAGTTTATTTTAAAACATGATTCTGGCTCAATAATCAATTATCATACAAAATTAAATTATCAATAAATTCATATATAATATTATTAAATTTATTAAATTTTATTTAATACAATTATAAATTATTGAAAAATTAATACGATAAAATGAGAACCAAAAGCAGGTATGAATAGCTTTAAAAAAAAATCAATTTTAACATGTTTAATCGATTATGGCAATTATATGCTGTTTGGCTAATTTTATTTTAAAAATCGATTAAACACCAAAAAATTCATTCTGGACGCAAAACAAACAGGCAAATACGCTGACAACGCCCGATACAAATCACATTTACTGTATCTGAATAATAAATTAAAAAAAATGGCATCATTCATAATTTAGTTTAATATAATTTTTTTAAAAAAACATAACTTTAGATTCTCATACTTTGCTTGAATTTTACTATAGGACCTTGTATTTTTTTTCATAATGTAGGTCCCTACATTTTTTTTGACTGTTCTAGATTCCTATAACATAACTCATTGAAGGACCTAAAATATTAAAAATAAAAAGTGTAGGGATTTAAAATATAAAAAAAAATAAAGACCTATAGCAAAACTTGAGTAAAGTGTAAGGATTCAAAATTATATTTTTTTATATTTTTTGACCGACAAGGTTGGAACAAAATGCTATACAAATAATTTAATATTCATGAAATAACCATAACTAAATATTTTATACTTGTAATCTACTTTTTTTTTTGAAAACTTGTTATTTTAAGTTTAATTTTTTTCTAAAAATATCATATTAGACAAAAAAATATATAGAACAAAATTCATGCTCATTTCTATAATTATACATCTCAATTAATTTTTAAATCAAATCATCCAAATAAATTTTAGTTTATCCAACTCACTTCTAACAAAAAAATATCCAAACATAAATCACGTTATAATTACAAACGTTGTTTCTAATTTCAGTTGACTAGCCTCAGTTAATTTCTAATTAAGTTACAGATTTCTTAATCCAAACACATACCTTGATGGTTAATGAAATCTGATTTCTTAAACCTTTCAGCATGACAAAACTTTCAGCATTAATTTGCTTAAACCTTTCAAGCAATACTCAACTACAATATTTGGAGTCACTTGATTTATCTTCTCTTTCTGGTGGAATTCCAGCTAGCTTCTCAAGTTTGTATTATCTTGGGGTGTTGAATTTGTCCTTCCAGTTTATCAGGAAAAATGGTTCACCAATGCCTTGCAAGATGATGTCATATAACGTGACATAAAGAAATGGCCAAACGTATAATTTAATAGACTATGTGCAAATTGACTCGACTTGTATTCTGTTTTTTTATCTTTGCAAAAAGTACCATAACTTTACAGTTGATTACAATTTACAAGTCTTTCCCTTTTTTTTCTTTCTTGTTTTTGTTTTAAAAAATCCAAAGTTGATTATAAGTCAATGTTTGTTATCATGACTCTAATTAGTAACCGTGATTGACTCGTATCAGAGGGGCAGTATCTCATGTGATATCATCCAATACCTCTGAGAATTTCGTGTCTATAAATGACCAAAAGGTTTCACTTCACCCCACAAAGCCCACCTGTTCTTCATTTTTTGATGCCCAAAACAATCCCAAAGATGCTTAACTCTAAGCTCGGCCTCTACCTCTTTTGTCTCATTGAGATTTTTTGTATCTTTTCATGTGCAGGAAATTCCAACATGAAGAGTTGCGCAGAGACAGATAAGCAAGCACTTCTCAAGTTAAAAGATGACTTTGTTGATGAAGGGGGCATTCTTTCTTCCTGGGAAAGAGAAGTTGATTGCTGCGAGTGGAAAGGAATTTCATGCAATAATTTAACTGGTCATGTCACCCACTTGAATCTCACATCTTCTGATCGTTCTACTAAATTGAAAGGTACAATCAATGCTTCACTGTGTGAGTTGCAGCGTCTAACTTTGTTGGATCTCAGTTTTAATGATTTTGAAGGACAAATGATCCCAAAGTGCATCGGTTCACTTGGTCATTTGACAGAGTTGAAACTGAGAAAAGCTAAACTCACAGGCATCATTCCTTGTGAATTGCAGAGTTTGTCCAATCTTCAAACTCTTGATCTTGGAGGTAATTATAATGTAATTTCGAATAGTCTTGAGTGGGTTTCTCACCTTTCTTCTTTAAGATATCTCGATTTGGCACAAGTTAATCTAATTCGAGCAACTGACTGGCAATCATCAATAAGCAAAATCCCTTCTTTGATAGAGCTTCACTTAAATGACAGTCAACTTCCTGAAGTCAATCCCATACCCTCTTACCACATGAACTCTTCCACTCATCTGAGAGTCCTCAATCTTGGACGAAATAATTTGAGCTCTTTGACACTATCTTGGGTGTTTAAATTGAGCAAAGTCTTCGTACATCTCGACCTCTCATCTAATTCTCTGCAGCATATTGCTCCAGATGCTTTCATAAATTGACTTCTCTTCAATATCTTGATCTTTCTTACAATAAGCTTGGGATTAACTCAATAAAATCCTTTTGTAATTCGTGCCAACTCAAACAGTTATTGCTGTCCTTCAACAACTTGTCTGGACAACTAAGTCATTGGATGCAACAATCATGTTGCTTCCAAAATGGTATAGAGGAGTTGGATCTGAGTCAAAACCCATTCGTCAGTGAACCATTTCCTAATTTTTCATCATTTTCATCTTTGGTGACACTACGCCTTAGAAATACCAGTCTCTGTGGGTCTGTTTCACAGGTGATCCCACAATCATTTGGGCCCCTGCATAGTCTTAAACATTTGGACCTAAGTCAGAACAATTTGAGTGGGTTAGCGTCAGGGTTCACGCAACTTCTATCATTGAGGACTCTAGATTTGTCCCACAATGAATTTAATGGGTTCCTTCCAAACACCCTGGGTCAACTTTCTGATCTTGATACATTGATACTTTCTTCAAATAATTTAAGTGGATTGATCAGTGAAGCACATATATCAACTCTATCAAATTTGAGAATTTTGGATGTCTCCCGGAATTTAATTTCTTTTAACTTCAGTTCAAATTGGGTGCCGTCTTTTCAACTGTATCAATTATTTGCATCATCATGTAAAATCGGTCCTAACTTTCCATTGTGGCTCAAAAATCAAAAGCGACTGGAGTTTCTATATATTTCTGACGGTGGAATTTTTTATAACATTCCTGAGTGGTTTTGGGACTTGACTCCAGGTTTGAAATACTTGGATCTTTCCAATAACAAAATCCATGGCACCGTGCCAGAGATCACTACGCGACAAGGATTACTATTTGTTGACATGTCCAATAATTCATTGTCAGGAAGACTTCCAAATCATTGGGAGTATTTTGAAGACTTGGAGTTTCTGAATTTGGCATTTAATAAATTGTGGGGTGAAATACCCAATTCAATTGGTACTTTGAATCACATTAAGTCTATCCATTTAAATGACAACAACTTCTCTGGCGAAATGCCATCTTTCATGAATTCTACCCTGTTGTTGTTCATTGATCTTGGACAGAACAATTTATGTGGAATGTCACCTGAATCGTTGGGGAATAACTTGCCTAATTTGATTGTTTTGGTTCTACGGGCAAACAAGTTACAAGGAAACATACCTACAACCATATGTAATCTAATGCATCTTCAAATCTTGGATCTTTCTCAGAATGAGATTCTAGGAATCATACCTCCTTGCCTTGACTCCTTGTTTTCCATGACAAGTGTGGTTTCGCCGGGACAGCTGATTTCTTATTCAAATGAGGATCGTGAGAGGGAAACTATTGACTACGTTTTCAAGGACAGGGCAATTCTGGTATGGAAAGGAAGTGTAATTATGCCCTCAATGCTTTTGTCGTCTTTAGCAACAATTGATCTATCTAACAATCACTTACAAGGGGAGATCCTTGATAGCATAACAAGACTTTTCAGGATTGTATTCTTTAAATCTTTCAAGCAATAGTCTCACAGGATTCATTCCCCATAACATGGGTCAGCTACAATATTTGGGGGCACTTGATTTATCAAGCAATTCTCTTTATGGTGGAATTCCAGCAAGCTTCTCGAGTTTGTGTTTTCTCTCGGTCTTGAATTTGCCCTTCAACAATTTATCAGGAGAAATTCCTCGCGGCCCCCAAATGCAGACCTTTGAGGCTTCCAGTTATATAGGAAACCAAGGACTTTGTGGCCCACCTATTAGTCAAGAATGTCCGAGAGGACCGAGAGAAGCAGCAAATTCTAATCAACTGAAAAACCTGGGATTCTACATCAGCGTGCTTTTTGGATTCACCATTGGATTTTGGGGAGTGTGTGGAACTTTGATCCTCAAAAGTTCATGGAGACGAGCCTATTTTCAATTCTTCAGTGACATGAATGATTGGATTTATGTCCAAGCATCCCTCTTCGTGCCAAGATTGAAGCGAAGATTTCAACACCAAGAGGTAATTACTTTCCATCCTAATTATTTATATTATCCTTGATAACAAGAAACCGTATGATCCCCTGATCAGTAGTATAATATATTATAATATATGACCCCTGACATTAGTTATATCAAGTTGTGAATATTCCCAAAAATGCGCCGACACAATTGAATGAATTATGTATGCGTTCATATTTTGGAGTATTAATTTTTTGTTTTGTTTTGTTTTTTGTTATCATCATTGTATTTAACTTTTGAATATTTAGGTACTTGGAGGAGCAAATCGCTAAAATTGCCTACCAACTGCAAGGGCGGCAGGACCTTTTCTCACGTGCAAACTCCTGATTGAGTGATTCGGTGCTTAAATAATGTAGGAAAAAAAAATAAATTTTTGCCTCTTATTGAATTTTACTTTTAATACCTATAGGTTTTTTTTAATTTTTAGTTCTCGTGGGAACAAAGCACTAAAAAATTGAAATTATAAAAATTTAAAAAAAAAATTCACTCTATTTTTTTGAAATTATAGAAATTGAAAAAATTATTAAAAATAAAAGCAAAACTCGATAAAATTATGGGAATAGATAATTGTACTTTCTAGTTATGTATTTTCTATTCCCTATTCGTTTCTCTTTCAATACTGTAGCAGCTTTGTTTGTTGTTGTTGTTGTTATTTCTTCCCTTTCTTTTTGAGAAAATGACAATAAAATTTATCCAAATTATTTAAATGATAATTTGATCTCTCAAAATATTATAATATCAATGAAGTCTCTAGAGACTTCTTTGTCAATAACTTTTTTAAAGAAAAGATAATTTTACCCTTATTGATAAATTGTAATTTCTTTTTCAATTTTTGTAATTTTTTGAAGAAAAGTTGTCATTCTTTAAATAAAAGTTGTGAATGAAATTTTTTATTTTAAGAATTTTTTTCAATAATAAAAATTACATTTGACAAATTATGATTTTTTGTTTAACTCTTGTAATTCACAGAACAAAAATTATTATTCTTTAAGCAAAAGTTATAATTATTGGATCTCTTTTTCACTAATAGAATTTACACTTGATAAGTTGTGATTTCTTATTCAACTCTTGTGATTTATAGAACAAAAGTTGTGATTCCTTAAACAAAAGTTATGATAGGTTTGTTATTTTCATAAGGGTAAAATGAAAAAGTTATTAACAAAAAGGTCCATAAAAACTTCATTAATATTATGATTTTAAGGAATTAAATTATCATTTACATAATTTGAAAGGATTTTATTATCATTTGTCCTTTTTTTTACAAGCTAAAACTTATGAGAGGATAAATAATTGAGTCATGGCACGCTGGTTTGTTTTTAGCATGGATTTTAATATATTGGTCACTATTACCTATTAAAATAACATTATGGATGCTCTTGCTCTTTTCTCACTTTAAGTTTTTAGATGCTCTTTGCCAACAATTTTGTAGATATTTTTACTTTTTTTTTAATCCACATAGCAACTATTGACATGCGTGACAAGTTCGGTTAGTATTTAACAGTAGAAACTAACGAACGTTATGATAAGTTAATGGTTTGCTCACTTTTATACCAATTTTGAAAATGTTATGGTGTTTTGCCCTTTTTTTATTTTAGATTACTGGATGTTTCTAGCTGATCACTGGTGGATATTTTTGCTCCTTTACTCTTTTTTAAATATTATTGAGGGTTTGAAATTTAAAATTAAATTAAATTAAATTAAATCTTAGTACTACTCATGTCTGTGGAACTTACCATAAGATTTTACATCAGCGTGCCGTTTGGATTTACCATAGAATTTCGGAGAGTCTGTGGAACTTTGATCCTCAAAAGTTCATGATGACAAGCCTATTTTCAATTCTTCAGTGACATGAATGATTGGATTTATGTCCACACATTCCTCTTCGTGCAAGATTAAAGCGAAGATTTCAACACCAAGAGGTAATTAAACTTCCATCATAAACTCTACATGACCCCTGATCAGTAGTGCAATACATTATAATATATGACCCCGGACATTGGTGATATCAAGTTGTATAGAATATTTTTTATTTATAGAATATTTTTTGAATAAAATTTCTCCAATAATTATATATAAGCTTTGAGAAAATAAGCCTTATCATTCACCCAAAAAAAAGTACTCCCTTTAAAAAAATATAAGGTATTATAATCGAATCTCATCCCCAATAAAATAGTTACCTACTTTTAAACTAACCTATCTTTCTATATTTACTCCTATTAAACACTCTATAATAAATATAAAGTCTTATCACTAGATACTTTTAAAAAAATCAATGATTGCACCTCAAAAAATTAAAAATGTTTTACATTTTTAATACCCAATTCTTTAAAAAATACCTTACATTTTTAAACAGAAAGAGTATAACATAAAAATGAAAAATACCTTAAAAAACAAGTAACTTGTAAAATTTAGATCATATATGTGTAAATTCTTAAGAATTAGGTCATATATGTTTAACTATTATTTAGAGGTTTTCACATTTTATTATATCCCTAAATTTAATTATCCTTATAACTTACCTGAACTATATTCATAAAAAATACAAATATCCTTTTTTTATATACTTTTACACTGTTAAACAATCATAGTAAAATTTTAAAAGGTATTATTTTTAGAAAATCCTGATTTTTTCTTAAAAAATCATAAAAAAATAGGACCTAATAATGTCCTAATTATTAAAAATCTTAAACATACACAAGAAATTTTACAAATTACGTGCCTTTTTTAAAGTTGTTCATATTTTTATCTCATATATATTTTGTGTGAATGATAAGGCTTATTTTCTCAAAGCTTGTATATAACTATTTAAATAAAAAATAAAATAAACATGTATGCATATTTATTTATGTCTTATCAATTGTAATCTCAAATTTAAAAATATAGATAATTTTTATCAAGATGTTTATAATTATTTAGAAAGTATTTAGTTAAAATTTAAAATTTATATACTGCAAATATGTAATTTTATCTAAATAATTTATATTACATTTGTATTATATATAATTATGTATGGGGGAAAGGGGAGCAGGAATTGTTTGCAAAGGGGTTGGGAGCCGATATACAGACGGTGGTGTGTGTAAGAAGAGATAGAGTGACAGGTATACTTTTTATCATCTGACATCAATATAAAAGTTGGTCTCATAGATATTAAGGTCTTGTTTGGTAGAAAAGATTGGGAGCGTGGGATTGGTATTAGATTAAATAATCTCACCTTTTTATGTTTGATATGAGGGAGTGAGAAATTTAATCTAATCCCAATCCCACCTAGATGAAATTACCCATACCACTACCCCATAGTATTGAAAAATTAATCTTGAATTTAATTATTTTCAAACCAAATTATCCTCACCTCTCACTCTCGTCTCTCTCCCTCAGTCCTTACTCACTTTAATGCAATTTCAACCAAACAATGTTGACATCGATGCCCTTCTCATCCACCAACGCTAATGCATTCCTCTATCACTTCAACACCATCCTCCACCAGTGCCACCACCAAATCTGAAGGGAGAAGGAGATTGAAGATAAGAGAAGAAGGAGAATGGCCAACGACCCAAGCCTCTCCTCCGCTGGTGGCGACCTTGGTGAGATTCATCTAGCAGATGAAGTCATTGCACTTGCCCTTGAAGTGCGACGAGTTCGAACACGTCCTGGACTTGGTGGTCATGGCTGCATCAATGAGGCAAGTAAAAGGAGAACCTGGCTTTGTTCTTGTGAGGGAGAGACGAGAGACTAGTTGCGCACGAAGAAGAACAGAAATCTGTCATCAACGAGAACAGCAAAAAGCTTAGGAATTAATATAAAGAGGACACACACGAAGAACATCTCAAATCCTTCAGAACCAGCAACTTCTTCGAAAGGCTTCTAATCAATTTTTTTTTAATTTTAGGGGTATTACAGTCTTTCATAATTTATATATAATTATAAAATAAAATAAAAAAAAGTATCCTCACAAGTATTACTTCATATCAAACATGATTTTAAAACCTCATTCCCACTCCTAATCCTAGTTTCAATCCCACTCCTACTTCCAATCCCAATCCCTCTAAATTGAGACCTACATACCAGACAGAACCTAAGTTTTATATAAGCCTAACACAGAGAAATTTAGAACTTGGTGTTCATCAAACTAAGTTTTAATTTGTAGTATTATGGTAAATATTTCTACAGTATAGTATCTTGGTAAATAATTTTTTCAACAGTATTATGGTAAATTATCTAGGTTAAAAAACCTTATTATAGTCCAAAATGGATTATATTCTGTTAAAATAAACTGATTTTTTTTTTCAATATATAAGCGATAAAATATAACAAAAATTTTGTTACGGACCACGTAGGTTAAAAAATGAGCACCCAATGCGATGCTTTCACCCAATTCTGGGCCGACGTAAATATTGCCAAGTGAATGAACTGTCTCATGCGGTGGGCCAATGGCCTCCAAACACGACCAAAATGCGTCAGTCAACAGAAAGGTTTTGCCGTTTCGTGAACGAAAAATCCATTCGCAGTATTGAAGTCTGGCCTGTTAAAGTGCCTCACATGGGGGAGATAATCAGGGTCTTTTTTATATAGTCTAAAAATTTTATAAAAAACTATTTCATAAAGATTTTATGAAAAATTTATATTATTTTATATTTGATTATAATAATAAAAAATTTAATTATTTTTAAATTTATATTATCTTCCTTAATTTTTTTATATAAATAATTTATTTTTAATTATTTTAAAATTTTATGATATTTTCATATATCTTATATTTTTAAAATATTCTCCTTCATCTATTACGTAAAATTATTTTAAAATATATCTAAAGAAGCTTATTAAATAATTAAAAATTATATTTTAATATTTTAATTATTTTAAATGTTTAAACAAACATTACAAAAATTTATAAAACAATTTTTTTTCCAAAAATTAAGTAATTTTTTAATAAACTGAAACAAACATTAGTAAAATTTTGGAAAGTGTCTTTTTATTTCGTCATGATAACTGATAATGCTGACTGGAGCGTGGACAGATTTAGAGCCACTTTATCACGATTACGTCTTTGAAACCTCTGCTCTGATCTTTAATGACTTTTTTTTTTAAAACTTTTGCATCTGACATCCTAAAATATTCAGGTATGTTCGGTTTATTATCTGCTCAATTCACTCTAAATTAATCTGAACTTCTATTTAAGTAGGACCCTCTTTTAGAAAGTTTTGTGGTTGTCACTAACAAAACATGCTTGCCATGCTCAGATATTTTGCTGCTACTCTGAGACTTGAATATAAGACTCTGAACTGTTCAAGTTTCTAACTACTTGGACAAGCGACTGCTGGCTATCTTTAATGATATTGACACCAACATTCGCGCGATAATGTTTGCATGTGAGGCAGCTCCCCCACCATCATCCCCACTCAATTTGTTCTTTTTATGTTCTGAGAGGACCTGTATCGATCTATCTGGTTAATTCTGAATGAATTTTTAATATCCGCAGCCAATATTTTATATACTCAATTAGAACTAGAAATTACTATCCATTCAAATTTCTTAACCAAAATATCCCAATTCAATAATTTTGTACTCTTAATAGTCACTACTCTCGATCTCAATGCTACTAAATCACAGTCTGAATATAATTAATATAATTCTTCATTGAGGGGATCCAAATTCTTCTTTAAGTGAATGATCATCCATATACTCTGAATCAAAAATATTAATTATTTCCAGCCACAAATTAATTATTTGTTATATATATATATATATCCACATAAACATGCACGTGTACAAATATGGAAAGAACGAAAAAGTTCAATTTGATCCCTAGTTAAAAATATCCATTATTAAAACTAAATTAAATTATATTTTGACCAAAATAAAATTCAATTAGAAGAAAAGTAATTCAGTCTCACCCCTGAGGACAAAAAACCGTTATTGTTTTTTGACCAGCAAAAAAAAAAAAACCGTCACTGTTGACATACATTCAAATAATAGAAAGAGAGAGATTGAATTCAATTTCATCCCCCCGGGGGGGGGGGGGGGGACTCAACATGGTTGTAAGAGAAGTTCAATTTCAGGTCAATTCTGATTTTCTTATTGCTAAGAGTAAGAATGAGGGTTATAGATATGAACAAAATTAAAAAGGTGTAAATAAAACAAAATTAAAAAGGGGGATAAGATGGTGAGTCATAAATACTTCAGCTTGCAAAAAAATCAGAGCGGGCGACGGCGTGGTCACAGTCTGGCTTGCATATTACTTGTTACTATTTTGAGACTCTCTCTCTATATATATATTTAGATTGGAATTCTGTAACATGCGCAGCGATTTGCCATTGTCGGCAAATAAATTACCCTTCTTTTCTCCCTCTCTTTCTTCCGCAAGGGAGCCACACAGCCTCCAGGGTACGAACACAGCTCATTTTACTCACTCCTCTAATCTCCTTCCCTGCATTTTATTATCCTGCGCTTCCACCACTTCCGTTTCTATTATTTTCTTCAATTCACCAATCAACTGCAACGTACTCGAATTTTCCATGTTTTATTTGAGCTTCTGTTTTGCATTTTGGTTCACGATTTTCACGCGGCCCATTTTTTCTGTTTTCCGTTGTTGAGAGTATCTTTGGTTTAGGAATCTGTTGGGATTGTACTGGCGATTTTCAGACTCGTCAGTTCAGTCCGTGATTGCGATTAAATCGTTCTGCATATTATCGGAAAATTCTCGTTGTTTGTTTTCCCCATCTAACTTAATTGGGATATTATATAAGCCTAGTTTATCACTCTTTGAATCTCATATTCAGGTCTCATTGTGAAGTTCTGCTGATCGAGGCAAACGAATGGCGAAAATCCCCATTTTCTTTGTGGGGCTTCTGCTCCTTCGGTGTTGGTTCGCCTTGGCAGAGACGGAGCATGCCAAGTATAAAGATCCAAAACAGCCATTGAATGTTCGGATCAGGGATCTCATGAACAGGATGACTCTGGAAGAAAAAATAGGACAAATGACGCAGATTGATCGCAGTGTCGCTTCTTATGAGGTCATGAACAAGTATTTCATCGGTAATGTCACCGTCTCACCTCCGTTTTGTCTTCTCTCTGGTTTTGTTTTCATGGGAGATGGAGTGAGCAACAGCAACAAACGTATATGACAATTGTAAAATATTACTACTTTTGTCACCTGGAAGTTTGCCACTGTTTCACCTTGCTTGGTTCTTCCGTTTTTGTCTGGGAGGGGAAAGGAATTAGGGATAAGAACAAGTAGATACAAGAAATTGAGGTGTGATTTTTTGCAGGGAGCGTGCTAAGTGGAGGAGGAAGCGTGCCGAAGAAGAAGGCTTCAGCAGAGGATTGGATAAACATGGTGAATGAGTTTCAGAAGGGAGCTTTAGACACCAGGCTGGGAATTCCAATGATTTATGGGATTGATGCTGTTCATGGCCATAACAATGTTTACGAGGCCACCATTTTCCCTCACAACGTCGGCCTAGGAGCCACCAGGTAACTTCCCAGTCCACTATGCTAGCTGTGTATTCATGACGCTGTGACTGTTCCATTACTTAAGTTTACGGTCTTGAAAATTAGAGGGTTTAATGATAATATGCACCGAAACCAAGTGGGAGAATGGTACCACCAAAATATTTTTATAAAACAAGGGACCAGCAAAAATAAATAATGGTTGGTATCATCAAAGTTGATTCCTAGCTTGTTCTTTGGTAAAGTCGATTCCTTCTTTTGAACTCATGCTTTTAAAAAAAAAAAATTATTCTTGGGAATATATATACACTAAAAAAAACTAGGGCAGTGTCAATATATATTATATATATTAAAAAAACTAGTACAGTGTTGGGTGCATATAAATTTTAGAAAATCTGATTTTTGATAGCATAAAGGCGACATACACTTTAAGTGCAGGGAAGTTTGTCCAAACGACAAAATAAATAATGATAATAGACGTTGCGCTGCGGCGTTGTGGAAGCTTACCTAATGAATGACGGGGTGATGACGATAGTTTTTTTTTTTTGAGCAAGGGGTAATGACGATATTAAACGAGTTTTTATCAATCCAATATTTCACGGATGATTATTGATTAATTAACTGCACATGCCATGCTTTTGGCCAAAAAAAAAAAGACGACATATGTTATGTTATCATCTGCCCCCACCACCGTATCCTCATTGATAAATATTTTTTATTCCATTATGCTTGTAGTCTACCGTTTCCTTTTAAAATTACAAGATACTATTAAATAAAATTATATACATATATATATTAATAAAACTTATTAAATATACTTTATAACTTTGTTTGTATTTCAAAACAAAAATATAAATTTTTTAAAAATATTTTTTATTTAATTCTTCTTTTGTAAAAGAATATTAAAGGGAGAGAATATATGAAAAAGTATAATAAAAAAATTATTAATATAGTTTTATTTTTATTAAAATATCTTATATTTTAAAATGTCAAATCTTCTCAAAAGTATTCTATAATTTAGAACAAAGGAAATGCTGCTATTTACATATTCATTGTCTATATTTTTATATATAATATGAAATTATAAAAATACCACATTATTCATAAATAATAAATAATATGACTCATTTTATGTTTCATGTGATATATAAGGCATGCTAATCATTATTACTTTGCAAGCGTTGTTATCTCCGGGAAAAAAATAAAACCCCTTTGTTACGCTGTGTCTCATCCCATTGACGAAATGGTTACCTGTGGCCATGGCGCCTAAATTAATTCTAACACCTTCCCCTCCCTCAAAAAACAAAAGAAAAATTGCTGGTGCATTCATATAAAGGACAAGATGTTTTGCTCTACTCTAGGTTTAGTTGAATGGATGTGGGAGTTCATATCCATGCATATTAAATGGCAAAGCAAAGGAAATGTTTTAATTTGGTCTTTCCATTAGTGAGTCCTAACAGATGGGGTTATGTATCTGTACCTTGATGACGAAGTTTGTGTCTGAACAAGCAGGGACCCTGAACTTGTTAAAAAGATTGGTGCTGCAACTGCTCTTGAAGTTAGGGCCACAGGAATTCCCTATGTCTTTGCACCTTGTATTGCGGTAATTGAGTAACCTAAAATTTGTTGCTTAAAGAGAAATATGTGTGCCTATGGTGCCTTATACAACCTGTGTTTGTGCAGGTCTGTAGAGATCCAAGATGGGGTCGATGTTATGAAAGCTACGGTGAAGATCCTAAATTAGTTCAGGCTATGACTGAGCTTATTCCAGGACTGCAAGGTAACATGGCTCCTAACGAACGCAAGGGTGTTCCGTTCGTCGCTGGCAAGTAAGATTCCGTGCTTTCACATCATTATGCTATTTAGATTTTCCTATCCTTTTATTTGAGATGGTCAAGATGTGGTGAGTTGCTCTTAGTTTAAGTATAGCTGTCATGTGTGTGTTAGTTTTATATCCCTTTGAAATTACCTTTTCAACTGCTTTGGATATCAGAATCAGTATCATGAATTTGTTTTTTACTCTCTAGTGTTTGATGAAGTGGTGTTTGTTGAGACAGAAAGAATGTGGCTGCTTGTGCTAAGCATTATGTGGGTGATGGTGGAACGACAGAAGGAATCAATGAGAACAATACGGTCATAAGCAGGCATGGACTGCTTAGCCTTCACATGGCAGGCTATTATACCTCAATTATTAAGGGCGTCTCAACTGTCATGGTCTCTTACTCAAGCTGGAATGGGGTAAAGATGCATGCTAATCGTGACTTGGTCACTGGCTTTCTCAAGAACACTCTTCGTTTCAGGGTAAAGTTGCTTCCTTTTGAGCTCTGAATTCCACCACTATGGCATTCAGTGTGGTCTAACTGCTTTGTGATTTTGGACAGGGATTTGTCATTTCAGATTGGCAGGGAATTGACAGGATTACATCGCCACCTCATGCTAACTACTCGTATTCAATTCAAGCTGGAATCTCTGCTGGTATTGACATGGTAGGTATTGGATTCTATTTTGTATTCATTATGTTCTTTCTTAGTTCTCATTCGTACACTTTCTCTGGTATAATGCTGCAGATAATGGTTCCCTATAACTACACAGAATTCATAGATGGACTAACGTCACGGGTGAAGAATAAAATCATACCCATGAGCCGAATTGACGATGCTGTGAAGAGAATATTGCGGGTCAAGTTTATAATGGGCCTTTTTGAAAACCCATTGGCTGATCAAAGCCTTGTTAGCGAGCTTGGGAGTCAGGTTAGCTATTCATTTTTTCCACTTCGACAGACCAACTTACGTTGCTACATTCTTGACCTTGAACTTCATTTAGCACAATCTCTTGACACTTACAGAAGCATAGAGCATTGGCTAGAGAAGCCGTGAGAAAATCACTAGTCCTATTAAAGAACGGTGAATCTGCAGATAAGCCTTTGCTACCTCTTCCTAAAAAGACTAAAAAGATACTTGTGGCTGGAAGCCATGCAGATAATCTAGGTTATCAATGTGGTGGGTGGACCATTGAGTGGCAAGGCCTTAGTGGCAACAATCTCACCAGTGGTACAAATTGTCCTCAACAGATCTTATTCTGTTACATACCCTAGTAGTCTAGTACTGACAAGAACAATCTGATAATTTTCAGGAACCACAATTCTGTCCGCCATAAAAAGCACTGCGGACCCGAGTACCGAGGTAGTGTACAAGGAGAACCCAGATGCAGACTTCGTGAAGTCTAATGATTTTTCATATGCCATAGTAGTGGTGGGAGAGCATCCATATGCAGAAACTGCAGGGGATAGCCTGAATTTGACAATCCCTGAGCCAGGTCTAAGCACAATATATAGCGTTTGTGGAGCCGTGAAATGTGTTGTTGTTGTGATTTCTGGTCGGCCTGTTGTTATCCAACCATATCTGGAATCCATAGATGCTCTAGTTGCTGCGTGGCTTCCAGGGTCAGAAGGTCAAGGTGTGGCGGATGTGTTGTTCGGTGACTATGGTTTCCGTGGGAAGCTTCCTCGGACATGGTTCAAGACTGTTGATCAGTTGCCAATGAATGTCGGAGATGCTCATTACGACCCACTCTTCCCTTTTGGATTTGGGCTTACCACCAAACCCAACAAGGCCTCTTAGGCATTCAACTCTTAGACAGAAAAAGTGAAGGAAATGCTATTGTTGGGTTATATTTGTTGTTAATTAGCAAATTATTTTTTATCACAACTAGTAGTATTGATGTGATGCACAGGTCTTGTATTATAATTTTTATAAATAAGTGTTGATTTTATGAAAAGATATTTCCTGAAAGAATTACGTGTATATGCAATGAGACTGTAATTATCATCATGAATATTAAATATGTATATTAGAATGAAGTAAATGATAAAAATTAAATGTATACTATATAAATGGATATAATGGGAAGCAGACTAATAAAAATTCAAAATTATTTAAATTAAACTATCATTGAAAATTCTATATGTAGAGCGACCATCCTTGTCAAAAATTAAACCCTTCCTACTTTCAAACATGAGAAACAACAACATATAATTGATTGTGTGATGAGAAGAGAATGAGACAAGTACAAACCAGCATACCACATACTCTGACCTTGGCTCTTATTAACGGTCATGGCAAAAACCAACATGATGAGAAACTATCTCCTTATCATAGTAAATAGCAACATGGAATTAGATAGACATACACATATTAATATGTCATTTATATACTTTCATCCCTATATCTGGTCTAGACATTTATTTGGTTTCACTAAAATGTTTTTCAGTTCGTGTAACTATGAGACATGCACCATTACACAACGCCATAAATATATCAATGCTCCACATTAAAATAATTAGAGCATGCACTTTAAGCCTTAATTCATTATTCAAGAGGCCTATTGCTAAAGTAGAAATTAAAAAAATTGTAGAGTGCATGTCATCAAATAAATGCATGTCCCTCTCATATTTTACTATACTATCAAATATCAAATGCACAACTTCCTCAGTAGGAAGTAGGGACAATATGTATCTATTTATTTTTTCTACCGTAGTCCATGTAGGAGCTAATATAGTCGTATCTTTAAAATACGAAGAATTATATACATTATTAAGAAAATTTGGTCAATAATGGACTTCTAATGGGTTACTTGAACTTTCAAATAACAAATTCAATTAGGATCTTAATATTTATAGATCCTTCATTAACTCCAGCAGCAATCCAATTACCAATTGATAATCTAGTCGGCAAAAATCTTGAAGAACACTAATAAATGTCCTAATATTTGTTGCTAGAAGCCTTATGTTTCTTATTAGCGTAAAAAATTAACAATTATCCCAAATGTATGAAATTTTGTTTGGAATAACATGAAAGATCTGCTTGAAGTCTCAACCAAACATAATAACTCTTCCTCCAAAGACAAAGATCATCACCTAATGGGTTTTTTAACTTAAAAATATCCTTTAAGCATATATTAAAAGCTTCGATACAAAACTTGTGCGCCAATAAAACCTTATCTTATATTAACAACTACAGTTTATTGATTAATAATTTTAGCTTAAGTATTAATAACACAATTGGTCATTACATCAATCTAGTCATACAATAACAAATAAGTTTATTATATTAATAATTTTACCTTTGTCATTGACAACTTTAGTTTTGAATTTAACAACTATGTTGTCTATTATTTTATAAAGGATAAAAAACATATTTACTAACAATATTACACCATTTCATAATACTATTTTGTCATTTACTTATTTTGAAGAGATTTATTTGTGATTTTGCCAAAATATATATGTATATGTATGTTGCCCCTACATTCCAAATTTTCTAGGTCTGTTGCTAGCAAAACTAGGCTAGCTATCAACTTGGTACCCAATCTTTATGCACCAAGATGGGGACCAAGCAAACCTAATATAAAATCTAGATTTGATCTTCTTTTGAAAACATGATCATTATTAAATAAATTTTATACACTATCTCCATCTAAAACTATTTTCTCTTAAAAAATAATATTTTTAAAATTATAACAACTCAATGATTATGTATTATTTTAGAAAACAAATTAAAATTTTGAATTAAAATAATATATTATTTTTTAATATTTTTCATGATAATAACAAAGTAATTTATATCAGGCATAACTCATAAAAAAAGATAATCTTATAAATTCAATTAATATCAATAAAAATCATAAATAACACACTCTGACACTCACACACAAGTATATCCTAGGAAGGGTAAGACCAGCTTGAGCACAACTCAATGCCAGCTTGACCCAATCTTTTAGGTAAGGCTAGACCTATTGGGTTAACGGGTTAATATTACATTCCTAACAAATAGTTAATGTTTATCTATTATTTTTATTTTATATATATATATATATATATATATTATTCTTAAATTATGATGAGTTTCAAAATGTTATTAAAACTATTTTTATTCATATTTATTTTAATTTAAAATTATTGGGATCATTTTTTATTGATTTCAATATCAGCATTAAAATATTGTTCTTGAAATGTATTTCTAAATAAATAAATTTTTTATGATTTAAAATTAACTGGTTGTAATTTCATTTAAATTCAACATTTAATTAGAAAAGTGTTTTTTTATTTGACAAGAATAATATAATTCCTGCCAACACCTTTTCTTCATTTTATTATTAAAAACAACTTTTAAATATGATTTGAAATTAATTGATCATAATTTTGAATATCTTCAGCATTTAATTAGAAAAGTAATTTTTTTATTTGATAAGAATAATAAAATACTTACCAACAATATTTTTTATTTGATTATTAATGTCTCAAACAAAGCACTGCATAATAGATATGATAGAGATATTAAATATTATTAAATATTTTTTTGGTTGCTTTAAAGTATTATTCTATTGGAGGTAATTCTATTTGTTGCACATTTGGACATTAAAATTGGGCATTTCTCCTAGTTGAGATTTGAAATATAATACAACTATGATTATTTGATAATGAATCTATCATTTTATTTGCAAAAAAAAAAAATCAATAGAAGAAGAAACATTGAGGTGAATTTGGTGTAAATAAATGATAGATTAAATAAATATTAGTGATGTAAATACATGATTGGACTGAAAGATAATTAGGATACACCTAATTACACATAATAAACTCATGAATATAGTGTTAATTCAAGATTGAATAATTAAATGAAGTCATAGTCAAATTCATGTTTATTAATTCATATTTGGCATAGCATCAGTGCTGGAGGAGATAGTAAATTTAAATTATCAATCTAATTTAAATATCAGATATGTTTGAAATTTAAACCTAAAGACTTATCATTAAATAATAACATAATTTTTTCTTGTTTTATTCCTCAGGTATTGGAATAAAAGTTCAAAATATTGAATATTTTTAAAGTTTGATTTTTAAAGTTTGATTATTCAAAATATTGAATAAGACTTTTAGATTTTTAAAGTTTAAAATCACCTTGATTAATTGCATTGTTTAGATATTTAATTGCTCTTTTCACAATAATCAATATCCTTCCTTTTAATTATGAAATATTGAATATTATGCATCTCCATCTAAATCTAAATAATTAAAATTCAAATCACAATATTTTATAATTATATAATAAAATTGTCAATGTAAAATGAATTAGTGTTCAAATAGAATTGCTCAACCTTACTTGACCATGCCTCAAATAGGCTTGACTCCAATAGGAAGATACTTATGAGCAATAAAAAAAATATCAAATGCCTGTAATAAAATTGTATAACAATCCATACCATTAATGTTGTAGATAATTTACTAAGTTATCTTTCAAATTTTATATAGTAAATAAAGAAATGTCTTTTTTGAAAAAGAAAAATATAATTAATAATGGATCAAAATTCATGTCACTTTTTCTCCACCATATAAATTTTATGCTACTTTTTTAAAACATATTAGATATTTAAATCTATACGTGATAGATGAAAAATTGTAAATAATTAGACAGCACTCACATATTACTATTAAAAATGTCAAGCGACATGTATCAAACCGACAAGGAAAAATTAAAAATTGAAGAATATTGAAAAAACTAAATAAGTAAAATAAAAAGCATAAAGTATAAGACCTAACTGATATATAATATTTTTTATTTATTGACTGTAAGCTGATATGTAATCCATTAAACAGGAAAAATTTTGTGTGCCTTTTTACTTTTGTGTAATATAGTGTACAAATATATATTGCGTAGATATTAAATATATGACATTGGATTAGAATTGTATAATGTCACACCTTTTTATAATAATGTTGTTGTTACTCTGGAGTAATCATTTAAACTAATACAATACTCCTTCTATTTAAAAATATAAAATATTTTTTAACGAATTGGGTGTTTAAAAATATAAAATATTTTTAATTTTTTAAAGTGTAATCATTTTTTTAAAAAAGTGTCTGTATTAAATAAATTATTTTATATTTATTTTAGGGTGAAATACCTTATTAAATAGGGGTAAATATAAAAAATATGATTAATTTAAAAATAATTAATTACTTTATTAGAGGGTGAGATTCTATTAAAAATGCCTTATATTTTTTAATAAATGAAGTATTTCTTAATTATTAAAACTTGTGTCATTTAAACTGGAAAATTATATATTTTTTATTTTGTATGATTAATTAAATAAAATGAATTAGAATTTGTCTTTGAGTTGATGACAATTTTGAATTCAGTTGGGAGAGATTTGAATTTCAAAGGCTTATTTATATTATTTAATTTAAATGATGCTATATATATGTGCTGATTAAATAATTATTTTTTAATTTGAAACATGTAAGATTTATCGAAATAGATTAAAAGATAATAAAATCAAAATTTAACATTTAATCTGTTTTAAATTGTTTAAGAGATTATGTGATTGATTAAAAAATTATTCTAAGCATGCATTTTATTTTGATTATATGGTTTTAGAGTTAATAAGCTAACAATTTTTACTTTGGAAATAAGACACATAAATTGTAAAATTTGATTTGATTTAGCATAAATAACTATACGTATATATTTTATTAAACTTCAACCACATTTTAACATTTGAAATTATTTCATAAATATATAAAATAGGCTGATAGCATATCCTAAAGTATCATTAACTATTTTTTAAGTTTATACAAATAATAATTAAAAAATCATTCCAAAACCCACCACGAATCAACAATCAAATTTAACTCTCGAAAGCATAGAATTACATGACAGACATTACAAAGTACAAAATTTTGAGATGCACGTATAAAAGAAATATTTTTAAAAAATGTATCTTAATTTTCATAGGCTTTCTTTTT